AAAACTACACATAAAATTTTGTCTGAAATCCTCGAAACAGCCAAACTTTTTGCACAATATGAGCATCAAAAAACAAACAAAACAAAAAAACAGTCCTACGCCACTGGGTTACATTGCTCCTTGATGCATTTGAATCAGTCTCCCCCACTGCCTGCCGACAGAGCCTCTCTACTAACTTGTGGTGGCTTCACTGTTCGTTCATTTCTTCCTGACCTTCAGTACCTTGAGTATTTCAGTGTGGCCTATTTCTGTAGCCACCCATCCTTAAGCCCTAGCGATTTCGCCACAACGACATGATGCTTCCTTCTGCCACAAAGTGACTTTTGTTTATGTGCTGTGATGTTTCTTTTGAGATTCACACATCAGGTGGAGACACACTTTCCTTTTTCTTGTCTATTTGCGTCTCCAGTGATGTTCAAAGACTTTCTTGTTTGAGTGTGGTTGGCTCCAGGCAAACCGATGACACTGGCAGTTCCTTACATGTTCTTGTAAGCTGTGTTGTGTTTTTGTTTGATAAGAATATCTGGAGAGTGGTAAGACGTATTGTTTCTTTAGAGAGGGGAGGGTTCATGTTGATGACATCAAATGGATCCCAGATGTCTTGTCTTTTCCGCCTCCTTTTGGTTTGATTTGTAAATATTATTTAAAGCTGCATTCCTAAAACATTCCGTAACCTGCCTCTTTAATTACTGTACCTGTTTGTTGGCGTTTCTACGTTTACACTGCAGGGCATAATGCTCAATTCCGATTTTTTGAGAAAATTCGATTTTTTTGCAATGACGTTCACATTTCCAATGAAATGCGACCTTTGTGATCTCCTGTGTGAACGTGAAATGAACCAGAAGTGACCCGCATGCGCAGAAGAGTAATCAACGGTCAACAACGTCACTTGTTGTTTGCGGAATAGTTCTTTTTTTCCATATGTTGCGAGCTTTTGTTTTATTATTATTATTGCCACAGCCCATATACAAACACAGACAACAATTATTTTATCGACGGGCAAAGTTTGCACATAAATGTAAGATTTTTCCGATCCTCACCGACTTCGTCATTAAACCCGTTTAATTGATAGTGCGCGTCCTCGGCGCTCCTTGCTTTGTCACCGGCGGCCGCGGTGCGACACTGGTGGCTTTTGTTGCCAGATTGGGTGTTTTTTCGCTACATTTTAAGGCATGTTTTATGTGTTTTAGCCAGGTTTTTGCCTGGAAGGCTTAATAGAAATCTGGCACCCTACTGTATGAAGTTAAACTGACAGAGATCGCACGTTCACAGACACCAGAATGAACGTGTTCACAGTAATGTTCATCAGGCAGTAATACAGTATATGAACGCGTTCATGCACTATCGTTCATTGAACGCGTTCAGGCACAACACTGGGGAAAAGACACGTCTGCAGTGGCCCATAACAGTGAGGAAACGCATTGGAGTTAGTGTGTATTGGCTAGCTACAGGTGCGTGCAATGACGTGCGGGTCGGATATATGTGACCTGGCCGTTCAGATTGAAGTCGCATTTCAAAAGATCGGATACATAGCGGATTTAGACCACATACCCAAGTGGCCTGGGTCGCATTTGAAAAGATCAGATCTGTGTCGTTCAGACTGTCATGAAAAAATCAGATACAGGTTGCATGGGGGCAAAACAATCGGAATTATGTTGTTTCAGCCTGCAATGTGAACGCAGCCTAATTCCCAGCAACTAATACATTTCATTTAAATTTGGTTTTGTTATTTTAAATGTGATTCAAGAACTTGTTGTTGAAATGACACAAATATGCTACCTTTTTAATCCATTTACACTCACTAAGGGTGCTCCAATTGATGGTCGCCGATCACAATCAGCCGATAATCAGCTTGTATATTTAAATTCAGTAATTTCACTTAAATGGCAATGAAGATTACCTATTAATTGTCATTTAAGTGAAATTACTGAACTTAAATATACAAGCTTGATAAAAAATGGTCATTTTAGACGAAAATTTAAAATGGCATTTAGAGGCTTTTGCATCTGAACTCTTCATATGTATATATATACTCATCAAAACGGAATATGTTCATCAATGGTTACAGTCTATATCAAGCAGCGACACGTTGCTGTTTTATTTAGTGATTTCACCGGAATGAATAGAGTCCGCAACGGCGATAGATTGAAGCGTGCGTCCGAGTGAAGACTGCGCGAGGCACAGAGAACACTATATCCATGACACTGATTGCCGTGGCAACGAGCACACAGCTTGAGTTCAAAAACATATTTAGTGCTAGATTTTATTTAATTGCGAACTAAATGAATGATCTGCTAGTTAACTGGAGATATTTTATTTATTTATATAAAGTACATGCAGGGACAGACTTCACTGGATCAAAACAATTCAATCTAACCATATAGATGTGGCCAGTAGTGGTGGCTTTCTTAATCTGTTTAAAATAATTTTGCAAGAAAAAGAAAAAATTACCAAGAAATTGAGAGAAATTAATCTAATAATCTCTATCCCCCCTCTTTCTTTATAATCTACCTCTCTAAATGTCCAAAAAATGTAAGCATCTTAGAAAAAAAAAGCTATAAAAAGTTATAGATAGCCTATATATAAGTTGTTAGTTATTTTGTATTTTTTGTTGCTGTGCACTTTACTACCTGTGGTCCTTTAAATGTACTGTATTAGAAAACCTGATGGCTGACTCAAAACATTATTTTGGCTATAGCCTTTATTATTGCTGTTTTTAGTTTGTCTAAATCTAAATCTAAATTTCTACAGGAAAATTGTATGTCAAGCCCTAAGCCGGTCTCAATAACCAAGCTGCTAATTTAATATGCTGGACATGTTGCTTGCAAATAAACACAGGTGTCAATTTATGATACATTGTTTTCTCTTAAATGTAATAGTTAATGTACATTGTTGTTAAATATAGTTTAATAAGTAATGCTACAAGATAAATAGAAGTCTTTAAATAGACCCTGTGATCGGTATCGGTATCGGGTGATACAGCTTCCAGTAATCGGGGATCGGTGATCAGAGATCCTTAAAATCCTGAATTTCCAAAAATGCTGATCGGAGCACCCCTGACACTCACAATACTGATTATTATCGATAACCAACATTGAGAACATTTTTGATTTGTGATTGTTTTCTTTTGCTTTTAAAAGTACAAAAGTGAAAACATAATATGCGTTATGGATATACAGTTCTGCTCAAAAGTTTACATACCCCTTGCAGAATATACAAAATGTTAGCAATATTAGCAAAAGAAGACTTTTATTTTTTTAGTACTGTTCTGAATAAACTGTTTGACATAAGTGAAGTTAACATATAGTCAACAAGACAAAATAATAACCAAATGTACACAAATGGATCAGTTGAAAAGTTTGCATACCTTTAAATCGGTTAGTTCACCCCAAAAATAAAAACTTACCATTCTTTACTCACCCTCATGTTGTTCCAAACCTGTAAGACTTTCGTTCAAAACACAAATGGAGATGTTTTTAAATGAAATCAGAAATTTCCATCCCTCCATTGACAGTCTAGGGAACTACCACTTTGACGCTTCAAAAAGTTCATAAAGAGAGCGTAAAACTAATTAAGGTGAATCGAGTGGTTTAGTACAAATTTTCCGAAGAGACACAATCACTTTATATACAAAGTGAGATCAGATTGAATTTAGGCTTTTATTCACATATAAACATTCATCAACACACACACAGTTATAGTAGAGTGTAAATAGAGAGACAGATCTTTGTGTGTTTCGCAGATGAACAAAAGTCTTACGTGTTTAAAACATTAAGGGTGAGAGATTTTTTTTTTTTCAACTTATGATCAGAAGTATATTAACATTCATAAAAGCACAAAGTTTTGCTTGCTTTTCATGCAAACATATTTTCATATATCTTTAAGGATCTTGGATTTTAAGGACTTGTTCCATGTAATATAAGAATACACCCGTTGACTTATTTTCAGTTTTTCATTTAAAATCTAATATAAAGATCGTTTAAAAGCTTTATTCTGTGCTAAATTGCTCTTGCATATAGTTCTTGACCTTATATACTGTGCTCCTTTGGGAAATGATTAAACAGCATTTCCTGTGGGAAGGACTGATCACACGGTTTGCTCTTATCCAGTAGCTTTAGTTTAAGCAATAATCTCTAATTTTGCTATCAGTTAATGGATTTAAATATGCGTCAAATATCACATTTCACTTAGAAAGAATGAATAGGCAGATAGTGGAATCAAAACAAACAGGATTTGTAGAGCGGCTGTGCCACGCTCACACGCTCATATCATCTTTGACCCAAATTGCATGTGCGGCAGCCTCCCCGGCCGGCTAATACACGCAAAGCCTTCATCGTAATGAATCAGATTGAGCAACAACCCCGCCCTGACCCTAATCTCTGGAAATCTATGGGATTTTCAAATGCGTTTTTTTTCCTAGGACAACTGGCTATGTAGGAAATTTTGATCAGTATGAAATGTTGTCTTGTCCACAGGCCATGATTTGGTATTATTGACAGGATTTTACAGGCAGGCAAAAAGAGCAAGAGGGAAAAATCAACAACATGGGATTTGTGCTTTTTATTGCTTATAAGCAAAGATAAGCCACGGGAACTTCTGCATAATAACATCTCATTTCTCATCACGAAGTGACTTTAAGTTACTTTTCATGTTGCCTCTACAGGACATGGCCCTGAATCTTCTGTGAAAACAAATGTCAATTAAACTTAGTTGTAATGATGCTGCAGTTTTTACTGTATTTTGTATGATTATTATACGACTTTTTTAGCGTCTGATAGAGCCAAACGGATTATTTCTAATTTTATTCAAAACACAATATTCAAGAAAAGAAAGTAAAATTGCTTGGAGACATTTTTGTTTTGTATTTTGTTTTATTTGAAGTTATAATTTATTTATTTGTATTTTTTCTGCAAATCTTACCCTATAAAGTAGTATTTCAGCATTTGGGTGAATAATTTTCTTTGTAAATGTATTTCATTGAATATGTGATTTCATTTTAGATAGATCCAGTGTTTACCACAGAGGTTGAGGAGAGTGTCAAGAGGTAAATATCACTTCACGTCTTCATCTTCCCTCCTTGATCTGCTCCTTTTTACTTTCATCTCCTTTCTTCGGTCTCAGGTACTTGATCTTCAAAGTCTCAGTTTCTTATTGCTTCCACTAAACCCACACATATGCGCAGAAACATTCATCTGCTTTTTCAATATTTCTATATTATTAATCTTTCCAGTATTCCCTTTTTAAAATAAGGGAGTGCTCCCTTGTAAACTGTTCCTGGATGTTTTATAACATATTCATGAGGTTGTGTGTGTGTGTGTAGGTCTGTTGGAGTGTTTCTGGCAGCTGATTTGAGTCAGGAGGAGCTGCATTCTGCCATGCAGAAATCATTTGCCCTGGTCAACTCGTCTCTCTCAGAGGGAATGTCTGCTGCCATCTTAGAGGTTTGTCAGAAAGAACGAATCTGTTTTTCTGACCATTGGAGTAAAATGTCAGTATTTACTACAGTGTTTCCCCTACCATTGTTTTAGGGGGGCGGCCCCCTAAAATGCTGACGAAATCCAGTCATAAAAAAGGATTTTACTGTATATTTTCGAGGAATAAATAGAAAGCGGTTCAGTACACTTGAAATAAAAATCGCGATATAGACTAGTGTGTGTGAATATTAAACCACAAATACTATTTAAATACGAATCCTGTTCGTATGAATCGTATGTTCCGTTTGAATGAACAGTGCAGCCCAGAGCCGTTAAATATGAATATGTTTTATTCATATAACAGTTTTATTTACCACACACACACATACACTGAGGACACACGTGTGACGCTTGCGCTGTTTTTTTTTGCCTATATGAAGACAGAAATGATTGAACGTCCTCTCCATGCTCTAGATCCACTCTGAAAGTCACTTCGTGATCATTTAACCGCTTCATTTGTGAAACCATCATGACGATCATGACAAACACACAGAAACTCCAAAGGGCTTCACGGCAACCCGTCAAAATAAAAGTTTGGTTTAACTTGACAGAAATATATTACTGTTGTACAGTAGAAATAGGAAATGTCCAGATGTAATAATACATTTACACTAATATGAATAAATTATGAATTTTTTAAACAAAACTGAATTTAAGGAATAATCCATGTTTTAATTTTAACAGTACAACTCATTGTGCAGCACATTATTTGACAAAAAGTTTATGATAAAATTAGTGTTTTATGGCTTAATTTTATTACCAGCAAAAACAGAATTAGTGTGAATTATTTTTTTTAATATATCTATATATTTAAAAAAAATTAATAATACATGATTTGAATTATTATACATTCTTTTTGATGTCTAATAATAAAAAATAAATTACATGCCCGCTCCGCTACAGTAGCAGGTAGTGTTACTGTACCCCCCCCCCCTAAAAAAAAAAAAAATCCTAGGGGAAACACTGTACTATATTGACTTTAAAATGATGTTGATAAGAATATTAATAGAAATATGAAGAAAGTAACATGTACAGTATCTTGAAAAAAACTGAAAGTGAATAGTACAAACACGTCATTGTTTTCACAGTCACAGACATGAAATTTTCACTTTCTGAGTTTTTTTTAACTTTAATATTAGTTCCCCTAGCCTGTATTTGGTCCCCTCGTGTCTAAAATTTTCAATAGGTGTAAACCGAGCTTTGGCTATTTTTCTCTTCTCTTCAGCTCAGATGCGCTGATCTTGAATCTCCTTGTTATTACGTCATAACGAGGAATGGTAACCTCCCCTTTCTCTGCTTTGCCCGCCTGGAGAATTTGGCTCGCCAGGCGCGATTTTAGTTTTTCCTCGAGACTTATCATGTTTTGCAAACGAGCGAAGCATGGCAGTTGATCAGTGTTCGGATGTACAAATGAACACAAACTTATTTTTTAGTTCCTTCATCCAAGCCTCTGAAGAAACAATGGGTTCATTTTATTTTCTCTGGAAATGCGCCGACACAAATTCCCCACCGACGACTGTTTCCTCAACTTGGGCCAATACAAAACTGGCCTCGATGAACGTCTGAAAATTAATCGATCGAGCTACCCAGCAACAATTTTTGATGTGTTGCCTAATTGTTCAAGTTCAGACAGGTAATCTTTTTCTTAAAATTGTTCAATACTGTTTATGCAGAAGTCAAGCCAGTGACTAAAATATCAACTTCACATTGTTTCTTTTTGTAGGATGAAAATTATCTTATTTAAATTGTGATGAAATTATACAGAAAGCGATCAAAGAACAATCCACACAGCGCGAGTTTATCAGGACAACTCTATGAAATCAATGACGGACGTTACACTGCACAACGAACCTCTTACTGTATGTACATCATCGTGTCTGCATTGGTGAAAGCATTAGAGAGTGCAGAAACTGCGTTACAATGATAAAATCTTCATCCTCGCGATCGACAGAGTGTCCTCTGCTGCTCAGTACTCGTCACAGCAACATTTTAAGTCATGGGAATAGATTTAAATACTTCAAAAACTTCTCACGATTCGGTAATCTCAATAGTTGTAATAGTAAAAACGTATATTAGCTGTAGTAATAGTATTCGAGAGTTTCACATGTAATATGTAGCTATTTTATATATTCAAGCATGTCAGCCAATCACATCAGTGGCCGGTTCCACTGAATCCCACAGCAGACACGCCCCTTCAAACAGAGCGTTCAAATCAGAGGCTAAAATCAGGCTAGGAAAAATGCTCTTTATTTCTAAATTATGACTATTTTTTTAATTTAAAAAACATACTAACATGATGAGGTCAAGCCAGGAAACATTATAAAATAATAAAATAACCCCATGTCAGGGGATCTTTAAAGAAAATGGCATTTTTAAATATATGCAGCACTTGGTAGAGCGTCTTTAAAATGCTTAGTTTTAGTCTCAGTGTGGGCAGATGGCCAAAACTCATAGAAAAAGATACATTTTCAGATGTATTCAGATCAGTGTAGATGTATCCCTAGTATTTGGTTTGTCCAAGAGTAATGAGTCTGAAAAATCATTATTTTCTCTATTGATTTTGATCTCAATACCAGTGCAGGAATCATCTTAATTAGATAGGATATTATGACCACAATATCATTATGTGGATCTAGTTAATCTGTGTTCAAACTGACCATATTAGTTCAACCCCCACTGGGATTAATGTGCTAAGTGGCTGTTATCATAATTTCCTCAAAAGTTCCTCCTCTTTTCATTATCTCACAAATGTGATCAAGCATAGAATGAAATGGCCAATGTATCTACAGAGAATTGACGTTAAAAAGGTTGTTGCAATTTACAAGATTTAAAAAAAATAAAACAAAAAAGGAAGAAGCTTTGTAAATGCAATCATCTAGCCCATAATGCTTGATTGCTATCTTACAGTGAATGATCCTGGACTTGAAATGGCACTCACAATGTCACAGTAATGGATTGAGTTTCCAGGGAGCACAAATACTGATAGAAAACCTTGAATGCTCTTAAGGCGCTTCAGATAAAAAGCACCTGGAAAATGAATAAATGTAAATGCATTGCACACAAGGCCAAACAGAGTTAATGTATTGCAATCTGGTGTGTTTTTAGGCAATGGATTTAGGTTTGCCTGTTTTAGCGAGGGATATTCCTGGAAATGCTGCAATAGTTGAGCACAAGGTCACAGGATTGCTGTACTCAAGCCCTCAGGTAAGATTTACAAAGGTTTGGATTATTATTGAGAGTTTAATTTTAATACAGTGAAATCATATCACAGTGTTTTTGTCTGATAAAAGTATACAAAAGTAAAATCTATATGTTCTAAGGGCCAGATTTACTAAACAGGGAAAGGTCTGTGTGTAATCTACTGACGACACACAAATGAAAGAACAGATCATTTCCATAATGACCAATGCAATCTACCAAGAGCAGCGCAAATTCAGCGTCTGGTTTAAGACATGCTTTTTTGGACAGTAAATAACGGCGTACCAGTAAATTGATTTTTTTTTTTTCATAATTCATTGAATTACTCACCTCCCAGAAATTTTGTATATGCAAAAAGGCCGGTCGCAAAAATAACCCTGTCCACGTCTGTTCAGTGCTGATTTTTCATTGCGTGTCTTTAGTACATCGTAACAGTAGTTTTTTAACACTAAAAGAAGGATTGTGTTTGCGCAAATTTTAGTAAATTAGGCCCCACGTCTTCGGAAGACATGATTGGTCAATGTGAAAAACACCAAAATTTTTCCCTCCACTGTATGGTAAATCTCATTATTAGTGCATTGACTCAAATTTGCCACGTTGTGATTGATCACGAGATACACAATAACCAAAGATGTTTGGCATAATTGATGTCAAACCTGATTTTCGATGCAGAAAGGAAAGATTATCGGTGAAAAACAACTTGCAGCCTCTTAGTCACATAAGGCTATCATGTGACTTTAGAAGACTTGGAATATATGAGAAGAAAGACATACAGGTTGGTAATGCTTTGATTTGAACCTTTTTATTCTTTTTCAAAATAGTAATACTTTAATAAGTGTTACAACTTTATTCTAGAAAAATTTTTGGCACTAAAACGCTGCTGTAAAAGAGAGAGTAGTGTTGGGTTTAGTAGTGTTGACTCTTCTTAGTGCTGTCGACTAAGCTTTAACCTGTTTTGGTTCTTTAGTGGGAACCGACGGACTTAGCGTTTATTGTACCGCCGTGCTAAACGGCTGAGAGGAATTCAAGGCAGCTTAAAAGGTCGAGGGGCAAAACTTCTATCCCTAAAGCAATCTGCTCCTCGGAGCAATTTCCAACCATCCATTTATCTTGCTTATCTCAAATGTATTAAAAGCAATAGCGGATCTGAAAATCGCAAGTCTCTGGAGAAACACAGGAAATTGTAAACGAAAGCATTAATATTTGTTTGCATGTCTGGGCAATTGTGAGCATGTGGGATGTACCATGTGCCCTTCTTTATTTATGACCTTTGACTTGACTTGTAGTCAAGACCGCCTAAACTGATACCAAGACACCACCAAGACCAGAAGGTATCGATACCAAGACAGACCAAGACCTGGCTTCAGTGTCACATGACACTTCAGAAATTGTTCTAATTTACCTATTTGCTGCTCAAGAAACATTTATTTTTATTATCAGTGATGAAAAGAGTTGTGATGCTTAATATGTTTGTGGAAACCATGCCCATTTTTTCCTTTTCAGGATCCTAGGATTAATAGAATGTTCAAAAGAGCACCATTTATTTGAAATAAAACATTTTTGGTATTATAATTAATACTTTATAATAACTAATAATGTCTAATATAAATGTCTTCACTGCAACAATTTAATACACCCTTGCTGAGTAAAAGTTTTAATTCCTTTAAATGAAAAATACTGACTCTGAAAAACTGTTATATACACAGGGGTCGCACACTGGACGAGAAGCGCAGCGCCGAACACATTATTCTCTATGAGCGTACACACACCAGCGGCGCCATTCGGCGTCTGTCCCCGGCGCCCAGCTACGGCTCGGGACCTTGTTCAAAACCTTGCCGTGCCATACAGCACCATTTGCATAGTTTTAGATAAAATTTGCATTTATTGGTCTCAAATTGTCGTTAATGTACATGGCTTTGCCCTGTGTTGTTTCACTCAGGTTAGCTAAAAGCTAGCTAAATAAATACTATTGTATTATGTGACATAGTTGCCTAGACAACGGATAACGTTACAACAAAATAAAAATGTGATAGACACTTTCACTTGATTAACGTTCAAATAAAAATTAAATAATATATCAAGTTAAAACTCACACATCGTGCTGCTCTCCTACCAGGAGTTGATTCAAAATTGAGCTCGCGCGAATAGAATGTGCGATACCTGGAGTTGTCCTAGACGTGGCGCGGTGCAGCGCTGTGCTTCTCGTCCGGTGTGCGACCCCCTTTAGGAAAAACATTTTTGTCTTAATGGAGTAGTTCACTTTTAAAAAAAACTTTTGCTGATAATTTACTCACCCCCATGTCATCCAAGATATCCATGTCTTTCTTTCTTCAGTCGAAAAGAAATTTTGATGAAAACATTCCAGGATTTTTCTCCATATAATGCACTTCAATGGGAACAAAACAGTTCAAGGTCCAAAAGACAGTTTCAGTGCAAAATGCAAACTGTTCAAAGGTCTTTAAACGATTCCAGACGATGAATAAGGGTCTTATCAAGCGAAACAATCACTCATTAAAAAAATAAAATAAATAAGTTTTATAAGCTCGCTCGTTGCTCTGTTCTGTGATGTGCGTTTATGACTCTCCTGTTCGAACTCGTTCATCAAAATGAACGAATCTCTTCGAGTCAATTCGTTCATTTCGTTCACTGAATGAACCAAATGACACCAAAAAAGATTTGTTCATTTTGATGAACGAGTTTGAACTGGAGAGCTTATAAAACTTAAACTGTGTTGTTGTTTTTTTTTTTTTTTTTATAAATGATTGATTGTATCAAGATAAGACCCTTATTCATCATCTGGAAGAATGATGTAATTGTACTCTTGAAAAGTAAGATTTTATTGTACTCCTAGACTTAAGAATACAGTACGTGTGATTCCTAAGTGTCAAGACTAGGTCTCAGCTGCTAAATGGTTTAAGAGTGCTGGAGATGTATCCTAACCTAGTTACTTAGGCGTAACAAGATGACAGCAGAGAGGAGAACACACACTTTCTGAAAAAGATATAATGTATTGGAGTTATGTGTATATTATAATATGTTAAATAAACGATACAGGCTTGATCATAAAGGTATTCTTTGTAAGTAATTTGTAATAACTTATCCCACTCTACAAATCCATGCTCTGACTGCAGTAATGAAAGAAATAAGGACGTTTTAAATATGAAGCAAGAACAAAACATTAAACATAGTGAAGGTTATCTGACCAAATTATTACAGCTACAGGTTTTAGAAAAACAAAAAAAGCATTGACAAACAACATAATCAGTTATTAAAATGTCAAAATGTCTTTGCATGTTTATCACAAACAAAACAATTTACTAAAAGCATAACAACACAATATGCTTACAAAATCCTAAACACATTTTTAATAATGTTTGGATAAAGGGTGAAGATGTTAGTAATGTTCCTAGGCTGGTCAACACTTTTGGCAGTTCATTGACGTTCCAGTTGACCTTCAAACCATGCAGCAAAAGCAAGCCACTTATGAGGATTTCAGGCTTCCCTGGAGTTCACAACACTTCAAGTGGCACTTCAGTCAGCACATGAGAATCAGTCTCAGACTTTGCTGAAAGTTGCTTTTAGATTCTTTATAAGGGTATCCTACTCTTAGACAAGTCATACTTTTTACCGAGAATTTTTTGACACTTAAGTCAAACCTTAAGAGAGCATCAAGAGAGCAAGTTTTATACTTTGCAAAATCTGTTGAAAATTATTGCCCTAGCAGCATTTTTTCCCCTTTGTGTGTTCTGCCAAAGATTTGTTTAACCATGTGTTGTTTAACCAAGTCACATCTGTGCACTGTGCTAAGCCTTGACCTTTATCTTAGTAGGCTAAGTAGCTAAATGAGAGGTTTAAGACCGGACTATATGTTGTCGAACAAAGAGTGTCGTTGAGGCTTAAAAGATCTCTGATGATTAGTTAGGCTCTTTACTACACTAACAAACTTAGAAAATATCTAGTTAATCAAAAGTGACAGTGAAGACATTTATAATGGTACAAAATAATTTCTATTTCAAATAAATGCCGTCCGTTTGTACTTTCTAGAATCCTCAGAAAAATGTAGCACAATTCACATTAAAATATTAGGCAGCACAACTGTTACTTCAACACCAACACATTTCTGAAGACTCATGTGACACTGGAGACTGGAGTAATGATGCTGAAAATGTACCTACTATTTTTGATGTATTTTTGATACAATAAATGCAGCCTTAACACTGAGCATAAAATACTGATAGTTTGTGTACATAATCTACTGACTCCATTATCCTGCATATTACATGATTATACCAAATAACTTGACTCGAACTACACCCAAGCTCAAGTTTCCCTCTTAAAGAGCCCAGGCACTTCCCACCAGGCCACATCTCTGTCAAACGTACACATTTACACTCTGGTTTCATCATGGTATTGTGTCAAGGCTCAGCTCTCTCTCATACGACACAAAAACTGTAACCCTGCTGAGCTGAACCCAGCTATCCTTTCAGAGTCTCCCATGATACCTGTGGTTAAAAGTAAATAGCAGGGGGTCACTGGAAGCTGAAGGTGTTTTAAGTCGGGTTGAAAGACAGTTGCAACATGGGCAATTGACATGACGATTAAATTCACTGTTCTCAAAGAATAAAGCTTTTATATTTTCGCAGCAGTTCGGATACGCAGCAGTTTTGTCCATAAATTATATTAAATTATGTTCTTCAGTGATTTCTTCTGCTCATCCAAGGCTGCATTTATTCAATCAAAAATACATTAAAATCATTAATATTATGAAATATGATTGCAACTAAAAAAAAAAAAAGGTTTTCTATTTTTCCTGTGATGGTAAAGCTTTGTCTTTCGGAAATCATTCTAATGTGCTGATTTGGTGCTCAAGAAACATTACTTTTTATTATTAATATTATTATTATTGTGGAATATGTGATGATTGCCGATGTTCTCATAAGTCACCTCACTAAATAAACATACTAAACAAATTTTAATTAAAAATGTAAAAAAAAAAAAAATCTTAACTCAGTATGAAAACCATTACAGCTATGGAATGTCCTCATAATGATAGGTGTACCAACGTGTGTGTGTGAATAGACTCTTTTAAAATAGGTCATTTTATGGAATGTCATGGACTACAAATATTTTATATTCATATACAAATCTATTGCAGTTGCTTAAATCCAGTGTGAATCCAAAAAACAGCGGTGCAATCTGAAACATTTTTCAAAGGATTTCAATGTTCTTGTTTTCACAGGAATTTGTAAGCATGTCCAGAAAGCTTCTGGATGACCATGAACTACAGGAAAGACTGGTGAGGAATGGAAAGGATTACATTAGAACGTGCCACAACCCAGGGAAGGAGAGAATAACCTATCAGAAACTGGTGGAGACTCTTCGTTGACAGTATGATGGGATTAACATTTGTCTCAGGTCTCATTGAAGTCTGTATTGCATATTTCAATTGAAATGCAAGCCTCTCCCATGATTGTAAAGATAACGGTGGCAATTTGTTTCTGGGAAATACTGTATATATTTATAGGAAATGTTGACTCACTAGGTATGAAAGGGACACACAATTTAATATTCTCAGAGCTTAAATTGCAATTTATGAGGTTTAGAAGAAGGTCTGGTGATGGATCTTGCAGTTTTTCTTTTTTTGGAGAATTGTGCACTCTTGCGGTGTTTGTTTTGTCGTGATGCTTGTTGCGTATAAAAGTGCAGTGCCAGTGTTTCTACAGTAGTTGTTACTACAGTTTTCTGGGTTAACGAATTGTGTTGACGTTTTATTCTAGCAAGAAAGAGTCCCCCATAAGGATGATCTCAGCTTGAATCAAGCAGACAGCTTGCATTTATGTGCACATATATAATATGAAGGGACAAACTAGACATATGACAAACTAAAAATGGCTACAAATTACTATACTTGATTTCTCTAAACAAATGTAAAGGGAATAGCATTTTCCGGAGGCTTGTGGAAGGATCCACTAAAATAAATGGATCCAGTTTTAGAGGTGCCACATCCAGCTTGTTCTGGCTCAAGTTATGCCCCGCTTTTAACTGTAGGAAAAAAATTAAAGGTTTAAAAATGTTAAACTGTCAATCTCCAGAGACCATTACCTGTCAGTCATAAGCTGATTCAGCTGCCAAAATCTCTAAAGCTCAAATGATGAACAGTGATGATCTCACAAGATTGTTCTGATTAGCACATTTTAGTCTTGAAAGGATTTTTTAATTTATTCATTTATGTGTGTTTGTTCAGGGATTAAGGTTTTTGCTAAATATATTAAATATTTATTAACTAAGACTGTATGTCTCATATCTTAAACCACGACTTTGCATGATTGTACCTTTGTTTAATTTCATATATGGCACAATAAAATGAAATATAAACATTTGTATACAAATATCTGTTGATTTTCTGTTCAGCTATAAGGATAGCATAATTTACATCAGTAGTGGACATTCTCATGGACGCTTTTTGCATGTGTGGTCTCCAATGTTTGTCAAACCATGGTAAATTGTGGTAACATTGGCCAAATCAAACTTTGTGGTTGTGTGGGGTTTTTATTATGACCAGTGACAATTTACCTCTACAACTGGATTTACCACAAATGTGTTTTACCAGTGTTAAAGCCTGCAAACACCGCTTTACATTCGGATTACAAAAGATAATAACTCCCATTCATTTATAATGAAATTAAATGATTGCTATTTCTTATCATAGAACCAAGCACTGAATACATGGCTTTATCATGTGGCTTTTTAATGGAAAATGAAACAATCGACTGTACATACAAATGCAGGGTGGTAAAATATCTTCAAACAAAGTGTTATCTATACAATAATCACATGCGTTTTTGTATAAAAAATGGAAGGATGCAGAGTAACAAACAAAAATGCAAAGATAGTGACACTGTGTTTGGTCCTAGAGAAAGATTGACAATTTATCTTAAATCTTTACATTTTCTCAATGAAAACCTAGGTAGAAGAAAATAATAATTTGGCCAATTACCTCAGGGTAGTTGTTGTTTGGGTACTTTTAATAATAATAATAATAAAAATAATAGAAAGATTGTGTTCTCTCCCTTTTACCATGATCACTCATTAAGTAAGAATCAATTTAAGTCTTTCAAGTCACACCTTGGCCATATGAAAGCCATGAAGCTGGACTGGTTATCTTGACCATAATCCTGTGTAGCACGGACCAACATAACAACTTTCCCAAAGAAAGAAGGCATTCGGGTGATGCTATAGAGCAGGGATGGGCATCTTTGGCCCTTCATCTTCAAGCATCCCTTAAGGTCCACTGTCCTGCAGAGTTTAGCTTGAACCCTAATCAAACAAACTTGAAAAGTTTAAACCAAGGACTTCAGGAAAACTTGAAAATTACAGACAGGGGGGTTTGATTAGTGTTACGGTAGAGAACACTGAGGGCCGGAGATGCCCACCCCTGATATAGAGATATACTGTACACTATGGATGCATAAATCAGGCTGCATGTAAGCCTACAATCACAGTTGTTGCAATGACTCGGCAGCTGACACCTCGGGTATCATACAATTGTCCTCCTTTCCCACCCAGTTAATGCCATGTCCATTCTCTTGTGGTAAAGTTTTGGGAGAAGTTTGTCGATCCAAGGATGTGAAGGTGGTGAACTGGACCCTTTTCCTCTTACTAGTGGGTGAATGTAGGGACTCACTTCGGACTGGTCTTGCTGCAAGGGATCCTACACACCCAACACCGGAGTCATTTGACACAGAAGACACCTGGCAAGAGGTCCTTCGAGTGAGAGTGCCACAGGGCTCTGTATTGGGTCCTATATCGATTACAGACGTGTTGTGAGCATCTTGCTGTAACGGACTTCCAGTGACGTTCATAACCAGCTCAGCATCTGTTCCCAGCCATACCCAGTCATGACGGTGACCAGTGTGCTCAGAAACTTGAGCAGGTGTCTGCTTGTGCCGAAATTTAACCAAGTATGATACACAGTTTACCATAAACACTAAGATAGCCAAGCAGAAGACTCCCAGTAATGCATACATCCCGATCTCCAGGTCTGTAAGTGGACGGTTTGACAGTGGACCCTCAATGTCATCATCATTACCATCATCATCATCATCTCCATAGTCATTTTTTGGCTCCTGATTGGTGGTTTCCACCTGGGGAGGGTAGTTATTGTAGTTCACTAAGTTCCCAGAAGCCTTCCCAGTGCTTAACATTGAACCCTCAGAAACTTCATTACTACTCCAGGAAATTCCTGGGCGATCATCGCTGCCAGCTTTTCCCGTACTAAAGAAATGTCCACTGTTTAAAATATTCCCAGGTTTACTGACTCCAGCCGAGGCATCATTAGCCCGTCCCATTCCTAAATCATTTGCGATGCTGCCAATGGTCGAGTCTCGTGCTGTTGACTTGGCTGTGGTGGTGATCTTCATCAAGGCACTATCCTCTCGCTCAGCCTCTGAATTTCTGCTCGAAACCTGTTCTGGCTGCTGCAGCTTCTTCTCAGTTTCCGCTTCTTCTCCGTCTTCAAGTCGCTCACTGCTGTTATCTTTCCCAGTGACACCAGCAAATAGTCCTGTGCTGTTTCCTGTGTCATTATTATTGATACTGCTGTTTTCAGGACGTCTGCTGTTTGTCTGGAACTTTACAGTTAAGCTCCCGCTGCCAACAGCTAAAGTGCTTTTACGCTTTGATTTCTGACAGACCTCACAAATGGTCATCTCAGCTCTCACCAGTGTTCCTTTGCCTTCACCTTCTGCCACAATAGTCATAGACGACTCCTGCACTGAGACCACGCCCTCATCCAGTGACGTCACAGCCAGGCGATAGTGAGTAGGGTCATAGATGTCCAGGGGAGTGAGGGAGCCATCGCTAAATTGTAGCCAGGAGCTCAACACTGCCTCCTGCAATTAGAATAAAATAGAATTTTGCATACTAAGTAGTGGGTCAAATAGGAGATGCTTTTAAACCCATTCACTTGTTGAATACAATTTCAACTTTCCATGCCAAGTACACCAAATGTTCAGGATTGGCAACCATATAGCTAAAAAGTTTAAACAGCTTTTGATGTGGTGACGAAATTGGTATAAACAAGTGTACCAAAATTTCAGTAGTTACCAGTAATGTCATTGTAACAACACTAATGCCTGGTTCAGATTACACAATTTTTTTTGTCTGTTACGATTGTCAGATTACGCGATTTTGACTCCTAAAATCTTGTTGTGTCGTGGACAAGAAACATGTCAGACTACACGTTGCTTCCTGACCAGTCATCGAGAAGGCGAAACTAGTAGTGAGTGACTTCCGTAAACGAATGTAAACAAACAATGGATGAAGCGATGAGTGTTGTATTGGCTGTCCTGTGTTCAGAAAAAAGTAAAAAAAAGAAAGAAAACCCGTCAATGGACACGTTCCTGGATTGCTCGAAGAGGACAGTATGGGCTTGTCAATCCTCCAAAGAGAGCTTGAGGTAAAATATTGTTTTCTTATATATTTTTACTTTTAGTTTTAACGTTAGCACCATCGTCTCTCTTTTGGTTCGCCATTTTTGAAAGTTGTGTACGGAAATGCTCGTGCTCCTATTGGTCAACCTCATACATGTGACGGAACCCGTCGTGGACGAGCGTTAAAAAAATTAAACATGCTAGTCTTTTTGACGTGATGTCGTGAAGCATTATAAACACTATACGAGATGATATGATCGAATCTTGAGTCCTGACGCCCGTTGTCGTTTACGAATCCCCACGACACCCTACGTCAAACGGATCGTGCCAAAAGCAGGCTAAAATCGTGTAATCTGAACCAGGCATAATATTAATTTGGTTACACTTTAGATTAGGGTCCAATTCTCAACTATTAACTAATTTTGCCTAAAAAACTCCTAATTAATGCTTATTAATAAGTTTAGGTATTGGGTAGGATTGAGGGATGTAGAATAAGGTCATGCAGAATAACACATTAATATGTGATTTATAAGCACCCCAAACTAAAGTGTAACCATTAAGTTTTGCAAAATATAAATGCTTTGCTTGATAATTGCTTGAAAGTTATAAAACCAGACAAATCTTTATTTTTAATTGGATCAGTGTTGTAGTCGAGACCACCTCACTCGAGTCCGAGTCCAGACCGAGACCAGAGAGAGTCGAGTCCGAGTCGAGTCCAAGACCAGAGACGGTCGAGTCCGAGTCGAGACCGAGACCAGTGAGGGTTGATTACCTAATTTACTTTTATTTACTTAGAGAAATCCTTTTTTTATTTTACTGAATTTACTTAGAGTTAAAAAAAATGTGATCAGTTTAGGGTAAAAAGGCCACATAGTAGGTGGTGTTAAAAGTAATTTTATTACAATTTGTCATGCGCAGTTGCGCACTAGAAAATCACCAATCACTGGGCGTGTCAATCAATTTAAAGAAATATTTTATTAACATACATTAATAATCATGAAAAATATTTTGAATTGAACTCGAGTGGACTCGGGAATAAGTCCGAGTCCTAAAAAAAAAAAAATTTCGAGTACGAGTCAATTCCGAGTCCAAATGCACACGAGTCCATGACAAGACCAAGACCATTAAAATATGGTCTCGAGACCGAGTCCGAGACGAGTCCGCGTCCCGAGTTCTAAAACACTGAATTGGATCATACATGCCACAAATTATGCTTAAGCTTGCAAAAGAAGGCGATGTTGAATGACCTGTTTAGGATTGCTGAGCACTTCCTGTGTGGTTGCTGTGGCGCTGATGGCTCGGTTACTTCCTGTGCTGAGCTGCAGGCTGAGTGTGAGACCACTGACCAACTGCAGCCCCAGTTCAGTGATGGTCACTCGATCATCCACAACCCTCACTGTCTTCTCGGCCAGGATAGAGTCTGACAGTGGAGAAAGCACCTGAAAAAAGAGAGATGCCTGGTTAATAAGGCCTGCATGAGATCAATATCGATTTATTAGTAGCCTGGTGCTTTACACTTGTCGGATGTGGACCAATCTCAACAGATCCAATTGAATTTTACCTTTAAAGATGTGGTGCCCACATCTTGTCCTGACAGCACCCTGCCTGCCTGCAGACGGGCAATATTAGGGTCCTCCACTTTCATGAAGTACCGTACCAGCCTGGTCACATCCACCTGCCAGTCAGAGCCCAGGAAGAAGGCTTGTGGCTCCCAGGGGTCTGATTGCTCTGCCACAAAGTGGGTGAGTACTCGAACCAAAGCATGCTGGAACTGCAGCATACAGCCCCGGCCCTTACGCTCTTCCTCACTGTTCCAGCCGGTTTGCTGTCAGGGACATACAGGCGTTACTGATAAACCACTTATTCATAGTCATGTAACTCCGTCTGTCACCTTTCATTGTTTTCATAACAGCTTAGATAAGCCCTCATTTGCTAAACAAACCCCATGCACACATTTATATAATTCAAAACAGTGGCGAGCAAGCACATATCAGACACTCACTTGATTGGATGTGAATTGTGAATTAATGAGGGGATGTTTCTGTAATCCATTATGCAATAGTATTTAACCCACTCATAACCTTACACAATCGTATGAGCAATTTTTCCACAATTCGTAATCCACTTGAACCTGTCTAAAAATGGATTTGCAATTTGAAAGCATTTTCTGGCTATAATGTTGCAACGCGAAACAACGACAATTGTAGCAGAAACACAGTGATAAAATATAATCAGTAAAATAGATACATATTGTACATATATGACTGACCATTCAAACCAGCCTTGTGACATGACGTTTTTTCATCTACATTTAGCATTATGAATCGGCATGGTAAGAGGATTTCAAAATAAACAACATTATAATTGGGAAAATTTGTGAATGGCAGGGAAAGAGAACTTAAGTCTACAAATAACTTTCCTGCCCATGATGAGAGAACTATTTTTTTAGAATAAATGCTATCACAATTAAAGTGTAGTTCACTTTTAATATAAAATTTTGCTGATGATTTACTCACCCTCACGTCATCCAAGATATCCATGTCATTCTTTCTTCAGTCGAAAAGAAATTAAAGTTTTTGATGAAAACATTCCAGGATTTTTCTCCATATAATGCACTTTACTGGCCACCAAACGGTTCAAGGTCCAAAAGACAGTTTCAGTGCAGCTTCAAACTATTCAAAAGGCTTTAAACGATTCCAGACGATGAATAAGGGTCTTATCAAGCAAAACGATCGCTCACTTTTTAAAAAAATTAACAAATAACAAAGTTTAAGTTTTATAAGCACAAACGCTCGTCTTGAGGATGAACAAATCTTTTTCCGAGTCATTTGGTTTATTCAACGAACGAAATGAACAAATTGACTCGTTCGTTCGAAAAAGATTCGTTCATTTTGATGAATGAGTTCGAACAGGAGAGTCACGAACGCGCATCACAGAACAGAGCAAGACGAGCGTTTGTGCTTATAAAACTTAAACTTTGTTATATGTTTTTTAAATGAGCGATCGTTTCACTTGATAAGACCCTTATTCGTCGTCTGGAATCGTTTGAAGTCCTTTGAACAGTTTGCAGTTTGCACTGGACCTTGAACCGTTTGGTTACCAGTAAAGTCCATTATATGGAGAAAAATCCTGGAATGTTTTCATCAAAAACCTTAATTTCTTTTCGACTGAAGAAAGACATGGACATCTTGGATGACATGGGGGTGAGTAAATTATCAGCAAAAGTTGTTTTTTTTAAAAGTGAACTACTCCTTTAAGACATTAATTATAATGCTGTCATTGTGTTTTTGTACCTCTTGGTGGACATGATAGGGATCCTCCAGCTCTTGATCTGACTCAGCTCTGGATCAGACACCTCTATATCCAGTGGCAGACGAGGGAACCAAACCTTCATCTCAAGCTGAGTGCTCAGGTAACTGTAGGTGAAGTTCACCAGCATCCTCACTCGCCCCTGGGTTTCTTTCCCATTCACGTAGACAAAGTCGCATCTGTCAGACACCTGAGGGCATCCAAAATTGTTTTATGTTATTTATAACTCCAAATGCCCAGGCTGGTCACACTGTAGTTTTCATGTTTTGCTGGATTTAAATAGACTTTTGGCTTTGTAAGAGGATTTGTTGGTGCTTAGCCCTAGTACAAATATGCATTTTTGGGACCAAATATAATTTAGGTTCAGATCCGCATTTAAAGTTTTAGAACTACTTGAGATTGAATTGCTTTGAAAGAAAGAAGTAGTGGTTGATCTTTGCTAACTCCATGGCCCTTATGCTGCATTTTTGATGTAACCTTTAGGCGTTTACTGTCACTTTTGAAATATAAAGCATGACATCTGGAGTCGCAAAGACACTTAACCATTCAACATGGGCTTACCGAATGCATGCCGCCACATGATTAAATCAAACTTATAATTTATGATGCAATTACATTTTAACAAGATTGAGGAAGGCATACAGGGGTGACTTTGACCAACATCCTGGTGTGGAATAGCAAGTTAGCAGAGTAGATTATGTCCTGTATTTATGAGTTAATATGTAGTGTTTGTGTCACTATGGCTTGTGTTGATTGGCATTTTTACACATGTACAGCTATAAACACCACGATTACTTACATATACAGGGTTTACATGGATTGCAAATGACATGTTTATGGATGCATTCGACGTTATAATCTATAATACCGTATTTATGGTATTTATCCTATTAGTTGACTCACATTTCTATCCAGTGCTGCAAATATCTGCAGAATATGATTAATGTCCATTCATTTGATTATTTTTTTCTTTTCTAATTTGATTGTACTATCCATTTCAAACGAGAAAGTACCCGATTTAGCTCTGTATAAGATATTTTACCATGTTTAGATCCATCACATAGAATCCATCCCTCAAAACCAGTGTGGAAAATGCCATAAATATGAGTAAATTCCATCTGGGCCTAGTAACAGTAGCAGTGAACTGTTTACACCCGGTATTAAAGGGTTAGTTCACCCAAAAATGAAAATTAAGTCATTAATTACTCACCCCCATGCTGTACCAACCCCGTAAAACCTTCGTTCGTCTTCGGAACACAAATGAAGATATTTTTGATTAAATTTGAGAGCTGTATAACTACCACATAGGCTGCCTAAGGGACTGGCTCTTGACGGCCCAGAAAGTCGATGAAGAAAATGTTTAAATATCCCAAGTGACTACCGTGGCTCAACTATATGTTTATCAAGCGACGAGAATACTTTTTGTGTGAAAAAACAAACAAAAATAACGAGTTTATTCGACTATTCTTTTTCTTCCTTGTTGGCCTGAAACGAGACTTCCTTAGATTTCCACGACGCATGCGCGAGAATTGCGATCTCTTTCAACTACCTCAGTTCAGTTCTCGCGCATGCGTCGTGGAAATCTAAGGAAGTCTCGTTTCAGGCCGAAAAGGAATAGTCGAATAAACTCGTTATTTTTGTTTGTTTTTTCGCACAAAAAGTATTCTCGTCGCTTGATAAACATATAGTTGAGCCACGGTAGTCACTTGGGATATTTAAACATTTTCTTCATTGACTTTCTGGGCCGTCAAGAGCCAGTCCCTTAGGCAGCCAATGTGGTAGTTATACAGCTCTCAAATTTAATCAAAAATATCTTCATTTGTGTTCCGAAGACGAACGATGGTCTTACGGGGTTGGTACAGCATGGGGGTGAGTAATTAATGACTTAATTTTCATTTTTGGGTGAACTAATCCTTTAAGATGTGTTTTAGTTTTGGTCGATCGGATCACAAATAGACGATTTACACCTGGTGGAAATTTAAAAATTAAACGCAAAGGAAGATGATATGGAAATACACGGAACAGCAGCTTTCGTTTCTGCTCTGACAGCAGCTAAACCACGTGTGTCAGAAATCAGGAATGGTGAGAGAATATTGTGCTTGGTACATTTTTCTTCTTCAAATCAAACTTGGGTCTTCAGTCGTCAAAGTTTAAATCCCATCTGGCTACCAGACTTGCCATAATGTTTACGCATTAGTTCTTTGGGCGGAGAGTAGGCAGTCTTTTGAGGCTGTTCGTTCACAGGAGCGTTTACAATGCCGAATCAATCCGTCCGAATGTGTTTTCGACTACCTCTGGAAGTGGTCGAAAGTGGACAAGCTCAAAAGAGCTTAAAAAGAGACCCTGTTTACACCTGTATCTAGCATTGTCCACTCATGATCAGACTGACAAAAACCCTTAATACTACGTGTAAACAGGGCCTAAGTTAAAAAACGAATGAATAATTACCAGTAGTTCTAGCAATCACATTTGTGCCGAATGTAATATAAATACTGAATGTAATATGCTGTACTGTAAGTATTGTTGATGTGTCATATTTTCATGAAGGTGTTTTGCTTTAAAAATAAAATGAACAGTTGGATGCTGTCTAGAATGTAAGTTTGTGCTAGACAGCAAGTGAAGCCTTTGTTTATGCCTGATAAATTCACTCTGATGTGAAGCGAGGCACACACATCCCAGAGGCTCTCTCTCTATATACATATACTAGCATTCCAACAGATGACAGGCAGTAGCATGAAACGGTAGGGAGAGGAAGTTTACAAGAATAAATTTACATTTACCTACCCAGGTAAAATATTAATAGTTTACTGGTACAGAAGCTGCATAACCTGAGGAGACAGTGATGGATAGATGGCTCTTTTTTAGAATACTTCATTCTGATTGGTCAGCCATGTTATTCATTTTTTATTTTTTATTAAGTCCAAATGAAAGTGATTTCTCTCACTCCACAATTGGTGCATTTCACAAATTCTGTTTTTACCAAACATACTTCAAATATTTGTGTTTCCCGAAACCATAGTTCTGAAAACCATTCACAAAAAGCATCACAAAGCTGTTTACTTCAACTCTTGACCTGGTTAGAAGCATACAGTATTTATTTATTTATTTATTTATTCATTTTTAGTATGACATATGGACTAGATAAATAGTTTGTGATATAAAGTACAATAAGAAAGCAAGCTAACATGCAGTACATTCTAAATCTTGTCATTCTTCCATACAATTTTCATTGTGTGTCTTTTACTTTGTCCAGAGAAAGAAAGTACTGTTTTTGAAGAGAGTGTTTGTGCTCCAGTTTCCCAAGGGAAGCCTGTAATAAGATATAACAGGGAGCCCATAATGGGATCAAACATCTATATAAAAAGCAATACAATGGAGAACAAAACTTGCCAAGCAGTTCTCAGATGCCATGTTTGTTATTGTTATTTACAACAATAATCTGACATTTTTTCGATCTTGAACCAAATAATTAGCAGAAACTATTACTCTGCTTGTTGTAATTAATGACAGTTCTGTGTTGTTGAACCAACGTGGTTCAAAAGAAAGATGTGTTACTTCTCTGATATGATAGTTCAGCAGCCAGTTGTGCCATTGTAGGGAAAAGCATCCCAGATTAGGTTTCTCTCATCGCTGAGGTAAAGTAAAACTCAGTGGATCTGGAGCGGAGTGATTATTGAACACATCCGAAATCACATACTCTCTTGAGTAGGTACTTATTTTGAATAAGTAATTACTTCACTATCGCTAAAACAGTACGTACAGTATAGTTTGAATGTGTGTAGTATGAATGTAACCTGGAACGTACTACATTCACCATGTTGTCATCATTATCACATGATCTACCAGCATCAGTTACGCTTCACTGCCATTCATAAATCCTCTCCCGTAGCCTAATGTGATAATAATGTGTCCATCATACGCACACTTCAGAATCTCGCCCGAAGAAGTAAGTCATCTGGGTAAATGGGACACATTTTGCCACATACAGTTTTTTGCTTATTATATGTAGTAGGGAAGTATGTGATTTCGGATGCAGCCATCGAGTGAAAGAGGTCAGCCCGCTTCACTTGTATAAGCTTGTTTATCCAGAAAGATTTTTGATTTGTGTGCTGCTTGGTGAACTATTTGCATTAGTGGAGTAGATATACTTAGAAAATTAAGCAATATTAAATGTTGTTCCAAACCTTATGCTGTTATTGTTTTGCATGGAAATTCCCAAAAGTAGAAAAATACAAATACACAGATTTGAAGATTCTGCACACGGCTATTCACGAACAGCAATTCAGTAATTTCTTTGTGAAGAATAAAATAAAATAAAACAATACAATCTTTGTGATATAAAGTATTATAATGCCATATGATATCTTTCAGCTTGTGTTCCTCGGCAAAAAAACAACAGCAGCACATTGGTTTGGAAACAACATGAATTTTCATTTTTGGGGAGCTATTCCAAACATGAGTCTCATCATGTTTGTTGCTCATGTATAATCTATTAATCTTGTTTTAAGTTTGGCTATATATATTTTCTTTTTACTGAGGACATGAAAGTAAATGCATTTCTGTGTAATTCTAAGAAATCAGGCCAGAAAGCAGTGTTGTCCTTGAATGAGACACGGCTGAAGTTCTTTTAAGTCTCTCATCTTGGCTGTAGTCACAGTATGGTGCTGAGCTGTCCTTTCAGATTAAGTCCTCAACAAAGAGGATCCAGCCCTCCTGAGTGAGGTCAGAGCGTGGCTTAATGACTTTGCGAGGACAGTCACAAGAACACTCGGAGTGACAGAGGTTGCATACACAAGAGAAGACTTTGAGATGTTCTTTTGAGACCTTCTATCACCGCATGTCTGACAGTAGCCCCTTTCACACATACAGTCTTAACTGGTAAATTACAAGTTGTGTGTGAACAGGACCTACCGGTAAATCAGTTATGGCAATTTTCTGGTATGAGAGGTTGTAATTTACTAGTAACTTCCCACTATGATGCTATTTGTGATAAAAGCATGAGATTATCCAGTATGAGCATGTATGACGTGAGAACTTTTCTTTGGGCCAATCATAAAGCTCTGTCAGAGGGGTTTACAGTAAGCTCTGCTGCTTTTAATTGTTTTTCTATGTAAACTTGCACTAGACGGACTCGCACCATTGAGACCATATCGAGACCATGTCTTATATTTTATTCATCAACTCTGCAGTTACTACTGCATACTATAGTAACTTCAGCATTATAGCAACCATTAATTCTTCCTTTACCCACTAGTGTTTACTAAAAAGCCAGCCAACGCCAGCATTTTTTTTTTTTTTACATATTCTCAAAGCTTTTATGGTCCCCAGAATATTTTGTTGTGTTTATATGTTAACAGTGAATATATATATATATATATATATGAAGAGTTCAGATGCAAAAGCCTCTAAATGCCATTTGAAATTTTCTTCTAAAATGATGATTTTTATCAAACTTGTATATTTAAGTTCAGTAATTTCACTTAAATGGCAATGATAATTACCTATTAATTGTTATTTAAGTGAAATTTAATAACTTATTGTTATTTAAGTGAAATTTGAACTTAAATATACAAGTTTGATAAAAATCATCATTAAAGAAGAAAATTTCAAATGGCATTTAGAGGCTTTTGCATCTGAAGAGTTCAACTCTTTCATATGTTTTTTTTCCCAATAATTTCATTAGTTTAATGAAGCCTTTTTCTGCATTATGATATTGTAATTTATCATTTTTTGACTTTATGCCCTAAGAAGAATTTCAATTAAAACATGCTCATTATAGGAGAGGTGCAATCATGTCATTGTGTAAATGAATACAATTTTTAATGTCATTTTGAATAAATTATTAAATCTGGTCAAAGAAAATTAGCATCACGTTATTGACCTCTTGCTATCTCGCATGCACAAAGAGAATGAGAGTTTGATATTAGCTTGATGTGACTTTCAGTAGACTTTATGACTGGTGTATCCAAGCTGAGATAAAGAAAAAATAAAAGGGTGAATACAGTTTAATGAACTGTACCTTTAGAACATTTTCATCTGTGGAGCTGCAGTCAGCAAAGTCCGAGACATCCGTAACAGAACCATCCTGTTCAACAGCAATGGTTCGCACAGCCACCGTAACCCTCTTACCCGTCAGCACGGCAGTGTTCAACAGCTCTGTGTCCTGCACATGGGGACAGAGATCAAAGTTAAATGTCGGATCGTGATACTGAGCCAAGCTTCAACTTTAACAGTGGAGGTTAGAGATTCAACAACTACAATTGAAGGTCAGAGTTACGTTTACACCATGCAATCTAGTGATGAATATAATGGCATAATACCAGTGCATTTTTTCAACACATTTTACTGGTAGAATAGTATGTTAAGGGACACAAAGGCGGATTTTAGGTTGGAATGGCATGTGTCAATCTATTTAGATAATCTGGCCAAGAGATGCACTACCTGGACTGGTACAACTTTATGTAATCAAAGTAATTTTTTTGATGAAAAGTGAAAAGCAAAAACGGATTATTGAATGGGTCACCACCGCCCCATTTGCCAATATTGTCTACAGTGAATGGGAAGAGCCAGCTTAGTGAGGCAAACCTCTGAACTTTAAAGATCCTGACAGATGCAAAATGCCTGCTCGTTTAAATGAAACAGGTTTTCAGGAAACAAAGGTCACTTAATTTACCTTTATGCAATGCATTAAAAATAAGCATATAAATGTGGTTTTACTAAAAATGAAAAACAAAAAGGATTTGCCATTACACTTAGTTTGATCAAACAGTATTGTTTTTTCATGAACTAAAATAGTTAGATTAATTTCTTATCCAATATAATACGCTCTAAATATCCTCACCCTCTAAAAAACACATAAAGCCGACTAGACTTTGCAAGGTGCAAATCATGGATTTCCCAGGCTGTGACATAAACTATTGGATTTGTTTTTTGTTTGTTTTGTTGTTTTTTAAAGAGGCCAATAAATATGCATTATTTGAATAAGCATTTCAAGAGTTTTTTAGTTGCAAGAGCCTTATTGAGAATGAACTTTTAGCAGATCCATGTGCTATTACTCAAATGTCCAAAAACAAGATCCTGTAAGTTTTATTGCCATTTGCACAGGTACGTTTCAGTACAGGTTCAGTACATTGGAATTCTTGTGCGTTTTAGTACATAATACTTCAAAGTTATTACTAAGCAAACTTAAGTAAGTTCACAAATATTTTCCAAGTATAATTTATGTAGTATACTAATATCACTGTAGTAGCAGTATACGTAAGTTTACCATTTCAGTACTTCTGAGGATGCAATGGTTAAAAAGCCTTTGTTTTAAGGGCTAAAACATTAAAACACCAACCGATATACCGTTTTTTTTATAATATTTTTTTAAAGGGGTGGTTGATTGCGATTTCACTTTTTTCATTTTAAATAGTGTGTAATGTTGCTGTTGGTGCATAAACATTATCTGCAAAGTTGCAGCACTGAAAAGTTCAATGTAAGCAGAGATATCATTTTTAAAAAATCAGGAAGTTTAATGCCTACAAAAACGACTTGAATGGGACTACAACGGGTTTTAGACATAACTAACCCATACATTTGCATCAACCCTTCCTCCGGAATATGCAAAAAATGGCATGGCCATATTTCTGCGGCTCGTCGAGTGTGTTGTTCACCCAGCTGTCAGGTCTTCTGTGTTCCGGCTTCCCACGGACGTTGTAGTTCATCAACAATGGGTACAATTATGTTTGATTATGTTTCTGAAAATGACACTCGTAATTTAGCTCTCTGTACTGCGCATTTACGGAAGACAGCTTCCAGAATCTCCACGAATTCAATGATGGATTCAACAAGAAACTGTTACTAAAACAAGAAGCAGTTCCAACTTTAAAACCAGAGGCAGCAGTTGTTGAGCCACAACCTGTAAGTAGGCTAAGACTTCATCATTTTAAATGTATTTGCATGTATAATTCCAGACGTAATGTTTTAGTTTTATCAAATGCCAGCGCTGGCTATATAGCCACTTAGTTATGCTATTTCGTGTCTACGACAAACGCGTACAAACATTTTGCAGTCCCTCCAGGATTTCGCGATGTCGCGATCGCAACTATTAACACAACTTCAACAAATCCACGTGAATTCAGTGCGCCTTGCAATTTTGAAAAATCACCGCAACTTTTCTGCAACTTTGACGAATCATCGCGCCGCGGTCTCCTGCAAAGCGTCGTCATACATCAGCAAACTCACTTGTTTTGTTCAGAAGACGCAGCAGATGTGGACTGCCAACGTCTCACATTAGGCTACCTAGAAAAATAACAGAAAAGGCCAATGTTGCCAACTTAGTCTTTGTCACTATATTTAGTGATATAAAAAAGCGACTAGAGACAAATCTAGCGGCTTTTTGGACAAACCTCAGTAACCAAATGTTGCCAGCACAATCCTGCGAGCGCGAGGTTTGCTTTCTCCCTGCCGTCACACCTCTCTCTGCGTCCCTGTTCAGTGAACGGCTGCAGTAGAGGAGCAGCACGGCAGCTGACAGACGCGAATGAGCAGTGTTGTTTCCACGGACTTATCACTTATCTGCTTCTCTTTTGTTTTATATTTAAAGAATTGAGTTTGACCATTTTATTTTCCTTTCTTTTCTTGTGTTTATCACTTGTAATAGGCTACTCACTATCACAGTGCAGTTCACCCAGTTCCCGAACTCTCTCAATTCAGAAAATTTTACACATAAAAAATAGCTAGCCGACTCGTTCTATTGTCTGACAAAAAAAAAAAAAAGCTTTATTGGATATGCGGCTAATACTATATTATATTAGCTATATTAAAATACATTATCAAACATTTGGTTTTTCCACCATTTAACTTTAGTGGCTATTCCTAAAACTGTATTTTGCACTTTATTAGTATTGGCATCTTTCAACATAAATGCTGCTTAATGTTTGTGAGGTTCTGCAGGATCTGTGAGGTTCTGTTTAAAAAAAAAGAGGCTTAGTTTGTTATGTTTTGCTGTCTCTTCAAATCGTTTGTTTTGCCTTTTATGGTTACTAATGGTTAGTTAGTTTGTTCGTGTGTTACAAAGTGTGTGACTTTGTCTCTTAAGTCAATTCTGGACTACAATAGAGCAGATGCAGATGATGAACAGTGTTTTCTGTGGGACATAATAAGTCCCTTTGGGGTGGACTTTGGACTTTTCTCTCTTAGTAAACCTATAACATGCACAAAAAATATAAACACAATAAAGGAAAGGGGAAAAGCCAAAAAGCATAATATGGACATTTTAAGTTAAAAATCTATCTATCTTTGCCGTTTTAACCTATAAAAACATGCAGAAGAACATCGCAACTTTTATCGCAACTTTTTAAAAAAGCGACCGCAACATCAGGCCTTTTAGGCCGCAACAATCACAAAAAAGGCCCGCGAAATCCTGGAGGGACTGATTTTGGACCTGAATTTGTATATGTACTAATTTTGTAAATGTATTTTTCATGTAATATTGAAACGATTCGATTTGATCAAGAACGTAAACCAATACCAAAGCTGTTTGTGTATATAGTAGCCAGTCAGTCTGATGCTATTGTGTAAAACAAACGTGTATAAAGTAAAAAAATATATAGGCAAATTACCATTCAGAAATGTTTTGTAAGAGCCGTGTGTGGTGAGGTTCTGTGTGCTCTCTTCATCGCCGCTTTCTGGGTCTGATTCTGGCTCATACTGATACTGCAGTATTGACACCATTATTTACATTTGACAGGAACACACATGCAACTTTCGCCCGTAAAGGTAATGGGCGTGAAGTATTCGGACAACATGTACTACACAGTTTAGCCAATCACAACACACCGGCCCAAACTAACCAATCTGAGCCCATTGCCTGTTTCTGAGGGAGTGGTTTCATAGACTCAGGATGTAAACCGGTTGTTCAAATAACAGAGGAGAAAGGCTTAAAATAAAGGTGAAATTCATGAAAAATAAGACTTTTTAAAAAAGAAAAAAACACGAATACATGTTATATTGCACCCCATAAACACAATCATGCAAAGAAAAAAAAGCAGTAAACCACCCCTTTAAAGTATACTAAAAGCACATTTTTTCATAAGAGATCTGGCAAACATATTAGGAGTTTTTGACCATTATCTGTCCTGTGCTGTTTTCAGATTTCTGGGACGGTGTCCAGCTGTATATTAGAGCTGCTACAGAAAATCTGATTGATTATGCCTAAATCTGCTCATGTTTGGACACAATCCAAAGGTCAACATGATCTGTCTTGCAGATGAAGCTTGTCGCATTTACAAGTTCTGTCACAGTGCCGAGCCCCTGGTACCCAGCTGGATCAATTCTGTCTTTCAAATGCCAGTGAATAAGTCATGAAGATGCTTTACTGTCTCAGATACAAACATCGGTTTTGTTAAAAAGTTGTCTGCCATGTCTTTTAAAACACAAAGTGTTAATTAAACCTAACACCACCCCAGATATTAGAATTTTTAATTATTTGGTAAGTAAACGGGTAAACTGGATACTTTATATTGAAATGGTGTTGTGTTTTCTTGCAACGTATTATTAACAGGCCAATCAGATTATTTCAAAATATGCACTTGTAGTGTACAAATCTTAAGGCCTATTAAGTGAACTTGAAGAGAAAATACTTTCATAAAAAGTTTCTTGACATACATAAGTACACTTATAAAAAGGCATTTGTATTATTACATTTCAAATCACTGTTTTAAACAAGAAGACAATTACAAATACATAATAAATTACATACAAGTTTCAATAGAAATTACATTGAAGTATATTTTAGTTTACCATATGCTTGTCTGTACATTCGGCCGAACATAATACGTAAACATAGGCCTAATTTTAAAATGGCATAAATATGTACTTAAGTCTATCTTAAGTTTGTAAAAAACACTAAAGTTCTGTAAAGCTAAAGCATTGTATATACATTTAATCTAAAATACACTTTAATTTTCAACAGAAATAATGACGAAAACTTTATCAAATATTACAGAAGTAGTTCGATAATAGTGTCATTATTTTGTTCCGTTCAGTGTTGATTCAGTTCTGTTCAATAACTGTTTATCCGTTATAAATCGGTTCAATTCAGCTATAAGCAGCTCTACAGAAGACAGTTCTGTAGTTATTCAGCTCAAGTTATTCAGTTTAATAACTTCAGTTTAATTCCTGGATAATACGTGTCACCAATTAAGCAATCCAAAGGCAACAGTGGCAATGAGCCCAAACTCGGATGACAAATGAAGAAAAAAAGGAAGTGAAAAAGTGGAGCTAAAGTGTTCTTTCTGTCTTTCTTTCTTTACAAAGGACATATTAGTGAAGACTTTTTTTAAACTATCTTTGATGAATTACCTACCATAACTAGAGGAGCCAGGCCTACAAAGTCCCTCTGAGTGGTGTAGATCCTCATGGTGCCTTCAGACGCCCCCATCATTTTGACCTCATCAGGAAGAGTCAACTCCCACTTAATCACCTGAATCTCTGACTGGCTGCTGACATCCTCCACTTCAAAATCCATCTGAAGAACTGCTAGGAGTTTGCTTAATCTGAAAGAGAGCGTGCCATTAAACACCTCATGCCATATACCGTAAGCCCTCTTAATCTTTTGTGATCAAATTGTCAAACAAACTGCATTTGCAAGTTGCTCTGTTTGAACTACTGACTCAGTCAATAACTGTATAATGATCATACCGTCGTTGCCATTCACAACCCACTTGAATAATATGACATTTATGAGTGAAACAGTGACTTTTAAAGATACAGTACATGGCTTGTGGTATCAACCTTTCAAGCTATCAGCAAGCCATATCTTTTTAACCTCTTAGTAGTGCAATCCCATCAATGCCCTGCATAATGCTTTCAATAGGACATGGGATCACCCGTAATCTGATGCATCTGTTTCAAATCTTAACTTTAAAATACACTGCTTTCAAGCTCTAGGAATGAACCAAAGAGTTCAGATGGATTTTTTGAACAGCTTATTTGTTTTAATGCATCTCGTCAATGGATCTCTTGTACAGCCAAAAAGGCAATTGTTTCAAAAACTGGGATTGACACAGAAATGAATTTTGAAGAAATCCCTGATAAAATAATCCAGTGATCCAGTGGCTAGTGGGAGCTCATGTGTTTCACAGGACCATAGGATTTATCAAGTATAAAACAGTAAAAGCAACAACAAACACAATGGGTGTCAATTAGTGAATTACAGCCAATATCATTCCACAAACTAATTCAATTCCATTTATTTATAGACCTTGAATTATTGGTTACATTTTGTGGTCCCCTTTAAACATTGTTTACTATAAGTAACATTGCACCTACATGTCAACTAACTCTCATTTGAGTAGATGAGTATTAGACTGTTATGTTTAAGGTTAGAATAACCTTGAAGGACGGGATCATCAAAATAAAGTCTTAGCAGATATTAAGCAAACAGTCTATTCATGTAGGTGCACGCTTGCTTATAGTCAACAGAATGTCTAAAGGGGACCATCAAAATAAAATGATCTATTACTATTCTTTAGATGTATTAGTTAAATATAGCGGTAGCAGCACCGCGTCTTTGGAATAGTGTCCCTTTACACATTAAAAAGTGTTTTAAATCTAGGTTGAAGACCCATCTCTTCTCAGATACATGTGGTTTATTTAGTGTTTGGTGTGTTTTATGGTGTGTTTGTCTATGTTTTGTAAGTTTGGGTCTGTAAAGCACTTTGGTTTTGTTTTTAAATGTGCTTTAGAAATAAAATGAACAATTGATTGAATATGTTTAAATCACTATTTAAGGCAGGATATTGTAATATTAACCCTTTGTTGCTGCTTAAATATGGATGTCTATCATAGGGTTTTTGCTGTGCACCAAGTACTGAATCCAAAATATAAAAACAATGAAGGATACGCCACTTTGCCTCAGCAGCAATATTGGAGAGAGATGCAATTATTTATTTAGAAATCACTTTCACCTCCTTTAACCCTTTAAGCCCTGAAAGCGTTTTTAGTGACACACACAAAAGTAAAGACCCATAACTCCAAAATTATAGCATGGGGAGTCAAAAGGTACACTCTAAAAAATGCTGGGTTGTTTTAACCCAATTTTGGGTCAAATATGGACAAACCCGAAATGTTGGGTTAAAAATGTAATGTAAAAATTTAACCCAACGGCTGGGTTAGTCCATATTTGACCCAAAGTTGGGTTAAAACAACCCAGCATTTTTTAGAGTGTAGGCATTCTTTGATAGAAAACACAATTTTTAGGGGAAAAAGGGTGCACTCAAAGAAATATTACACATATTTCTTATTTGGCATGCAATAAATCAGGAAGGAAATAAGGAAATAAAGTTCCCCTATATGTGTGCTGCATCTTGATCAAATTTTGCAGCGATACCATAAAGTAATCAAAAGTTACAGTATTTGGGACTAAGGTAGCCTTTTTGTTAAGCAGAGCATCCAAAAACCTCTTTAAACAAGTGTTTTCAATATCCAGGAGGAATATCTTTAGATCTAAGTTAAGGATTATGGTGATTATTGTTTTGGGCTGTATTAATCGTGAGAATCTGCTGTAAACAGTGTTGGGCCATTTTCCACGATCTATTGAGAGTGAGTCACGTGCCGATTTGGGCGGGGTCTGAGCTGGTCGGCCATGATGGTAGGAGACGCTATCGGTTGACAGGGGCAACGCCTTCAGAACTTCACTGAGGTGCGACTAAACATTACAGAAATAGCGAAAGAGAGAGAGAGCGCAGCTTAGTATTTGTTTACATTTTACATTTTTAGCGATAAGCCGCAGTTTCTTTGGAAGATATGGAGAAGGAAGAGAAATGAAAGGGGTTCTATCGGGGGGGACTAAATAACAATGCTGGCCAGCTTTATTTAGAGAAACTGCTTGTCAATAAACTGACAGCAGCAACAGTGAGCAAAGCATGATTTCAAAAGGACCACATTTCAGCACAGTTCGCCTTTTATTTAACATTTATTTTATTTAACGAATTAAATTAATACCCTTGTTTTAAAAATACACTCTTTTAATGGCGTACGACTCTCATTGACAGGGGCATGTCCGATCTGTCCGCTTAACTTTGCACGGCAGGTGCAATGTACATATCTGATTCATTGTCCCTTTCAAATAAATAAATAAATAAAATATCAGATTTATTTCCACATATGAATGAGACCTGAAACATCAAGTATGACTGAACTCTCGCAGTTTAACGTTACAGGATTGGGGATTTGGGGAAGTCTTGCACCCAGCCGCAGCAGAATTGTTCATAAGCTTCTAATGACTTAAAGCTTCTGAACTCTTGCATTGTAATGTCTAGACAGTAACGTGTTGCCATAAACCAGGTAATTGACTATGTGAGGGTATGTGAAAGCTAGTAGTGCTTTGGGTCTTTCGTCCATTCTGTAGCAGGTTGTACAGGTCCATGTTGTTGATGTCAAGTAGTTTCTCTAAATAACGCTGCTTGGTATTGTTGGTTAGTCTCTCACGATGGAGCCTCTTTCCTTTTGCTTCCCCCTTCTTCATTTATTCCCAAGAAAGTGTGCCTTATTGCAAAAATGCAAACAATTATCAAACTGCTCTCTTTCTCTGTCACTATTTCTATCGGTCTCACGGTCGAAGTAACCATGAGAACGGATAGCGAATCCTTCCCACAATGCAACACGGAGTGATACGCGTGACATCACATTCTCATGTTCACATTCACAAGTGAAAACGCCACATGGAAGCTACCTTTGTTTTTTTTTTTTGTTTTTTTTGCTTAGCTACATGTGCGAATGTTTAATGTGTGTCTTAAAATATAACTCAGCCCTACTTTAGGAGTTAATCAAATTGGCAGCTGTCTTCTCTGGCAAATATATAGTCATCTAATGCTCAAATCAAAGGCTGAAAGCCTAGAATTGTTCCTTCCATCAACCATAAATAGTGAGGAGACTTCAGGTCAGGCTTTCACTAATAGGATTCTGACACACACCTCTGTTCAACCCTGATCTTTGTGCTCCCATCTAATACATGCATAGTAAACATTTCATGCAGTCCTCAGTGGCAAACATGCATGTGTACACATATTAGCCATTCTTTGGTGTTTCTGTGGTTAATTCACTTTGAATTGAAATCATACATTTATTAAACAGATCAGGACTAATGAACCAATTACAAGAATAATTACAGGAATCCACTTTGACCAATCTGCTTTAGCATGTAAACTCACTGTTTCCATGGACAATAGTTCTTGCCTGGCACCAGTAAAACTTAGTTAATTACCGTCGTCTAATCATCTGATTAAAAATAATTAATTAAATTTTCCTTAACAGATACACTTACCTTTTCACATTTGCAGTTGGCTTTCTCTGACAGATTACTCCAACACTTCCATCTGGGCCTGTGTCCAGGGTGATGTCCCATAGTAGCGTGTTGGTCGGTGTGGCACTACGGAAGGACACCCCTTTTTTTACCATGGCTCTGTTAAGCGTAAAATGTAAATTTCTTGATTAGATTTGCCCTAGTGTCCCTTAAGAAAATGCATGAATTGTGAATAGATTGCAGTCTTTATTAGTAAGTGGTTAAACTAGTAACACAACAGGTCATTAAGGTCATCTCATAAACTGTTATGACAAATGAAGTTCAAGAAAATTTCAATACTGGTATATTGTGATAATGTGGTGTCCCCCAAGGCCTGATTCTGGGCCCTTTGTTTGTTTAACTTGCATAGGTTACCACTGGTGTAATTAATCAATGTCCTTTTTCTCATTTAGACTATATGCCCACAAATCAATTTACAAATGAGTTGCCTATCCTCTTCTGCATGGAGAACATTTGTATGTGAATTTTAGCTTTTTGGTTTCAGATATACAATGACCCAGTTGCCTTGTCATAGCAATTTGGGTTGTAAAAAGATTTTTACTCCTGCCCATTTCTCCTGCATCTAATCTACCCAGACCTTAATATATGCCTTGTTATGAGATGATCAACGATACTCACTGTTTTTGGGTCATCAGTGTATATTCCCAGGAAATCAAACCCACAAGCTTAGTGCAAGCACCATGATCTGTTGTTGTGCTACAGGAACACCGGTCAGACAGTTTGCTGTTTACGTTTTTTTGAAAAATTTAGTTTTGCATATCCCTAGTATGGATGGTTTAAAAAATGTTTTATGTAGATAACACTTTTTTTTTCATTTATTACTGGTTCTGTCCTCATTGGAACCAATGCTCATGTTTCAATTCATAGCAGGTTTGCATGTGTGGGTGCACGTGTATGGCAGGGGGAGATAAGGCCAAAGATGGTTTGTTCTAGGAGTTTAAAGCTGAGGCTGACAGTGTGGTTTCCTATACAGGGGCGAAGAAGAGGATGTTAGTCTCTGTTCCCTTACAGGGGACAGGAAATCAATGACATCCACATCAGACCCAGTTAGCCAAGCCTAAACAGTCACAACAACCCCGACCTACACACAGACACACACACACAAGCACACAAAACCCAAAACAACCTTCATTTCAAACAACATTCATTGTTTAGAAGCTCTGGCAAAGACACAACAACTGAAATTTGACACTTTGGCCATGTATTGCACGATACATTACAGATACTCCACTGGACTGATCAACTTTAGCTGTTCTTAGAAGTTCCTGTGAGGTCTCATCCTGTGAGTTTCCTGCAAGGTCAAATGACTACAGATAGAGTTCCTGTCCCTCCCAAACCTTTACAAACTGTCACACTGACCCCATATCACACTATTATCAGAATAATGTATCAATATAATTGAACATTCAACTGCAACATTATGTTCCCACAGGGGAGAGGTAGTTCAGCAGCTCAATAGGGTCAAAATCCTGTTCAGCCCAAGGGACCATTAGAGCTCTTGGAACAGAATCTAAAAGCTTCCAGAGAACCAATACAGCCAAACAAAGTGGCATAGAGCATATCAATATGAGCATAATTATAAAAGATTGTTTAAATAAATGCACTTTCCAGATTCCAGCAACCTCAAAATCTTTTGTAACATCGAAGCCATACAGTATTTGTGTAGCTGAAGGGTCTTTTTTTCTCTCCACGAATGTCATATTTATTTTATAGTTATATTGGGGTTATAAAACGTCATGGGGCACAATATTAGTCTCACAGGGGCTGTATTGTAACCCTCTTCTTGGTAATCTGGCCAGATTTGTTACAGGGCAGTTGAAAGTACATTGTTTCATGTTTGCAAACATACACGCACAGGGAAGATTGCATTATGTTGATTTTATTTTATTAAGGAAAACAGTAAAATTTGTGTTCTGTGCTTATAATACAGGGTTAAGGTTATGTTTCAGAAGATGTGATATTTTTGCATTTAAAATTGTGTGTGCATGTGTCACCATCTATGATCTCTGATCTTGTAAGATGTAATCACTGTCTCGAGTGATTACATCTTACAATACACAGCTCATGGGAGCACTAATCTTGGCATTGACAGAGATGATCTTAGGACTGTTCAGACATGAGACCACAATCGGCCCTCCCTATCTTGACCTAAATGTTTAAATCAGTCACAATATCTCTTTTTCTTTTGTCATTTCCCCCTGCAAAGTTTCTGACTGTGCATTTACCAGTACCAGAGGCATCAAGTGAGGCAAGCAATTTTCGAATGCAATGTATTTCAGATTTAATTGGTGGTGTAGTTATAAACTATACTCTAATTCCTAAAACTATACTCTAACACTATTCTTATATGTTTGGGCGTTAAAATGCCTTTGTAAACACATGTTTGTGTTGTTTATGCCATGTATGATGCAGAATCTGTGACCCCAGCCCTAAAAGTGAAACCTATGTTATCATCAAATCATTTTTGATGACAGGTGATAAAGGGATACTCCTCTTTTTTTTTTGGAAATAGGCTCATTTTACAACTTCCTCAGAATTAAACAGTTTAGTTTTACCGTTTTCGAATCAATTTTCGAAACCATATTCGAATCCATTTTCTGTATGAAATACAGTATATATTTTTTCCTCCTATGGAAGTCAATGAGACCAGAAACTGTCTGGTGACTGATATTCTTCTAAATATCAGAAAATCAGCTGAATGGATTGGAAAACGGTAAAAACTCGACTGTTTAACTCTGAGGGAGTTGTAAAATAAGCCTATTTCCAAAAAAGTGGAGTATCCCTAAAAGTCCACGCATCTCTCCAAGACCGACATTCAACATTCCTAACCAAATCAATCTATTTGACCTATGGAGACCAAACAACTTGTGAAACATCCATGCCAAATCATCTTCTGTCTGTCACTGTTGAGAACCTCACAGCATTACGGTAGAGGGTTTATCAGAGCAAGCTGATATCACAAGTCTAATTGTGAGCCCTTTTTCAATTATCCGTCAAACATCGCTGACATTTCACATAATGAATGTAGGCTTTGAAATGTCATGCACATACTCAAACACATCCAGAAAATGCCAAAGCACCATATTGAGAATATTAAATCACCAAGTAGTGGAGAAAACGCTGAGGACCGAAAATTAGCACGCACCAAGTGCCAAATGTAAGGAACATTGGGATAAACAAAATGCGACTGGCTTACTCTCAGAATTTATGGTGCATTTGTACTTGCACTTCTGAGAAAATGCTGATTCTACTTACCCCTTCCCCTTTGGAAATGGGGATTTGATCTTTTGGCATAATAATTGAGGGAGTGGATTTCTATGACAGTGAAGGTTGTAATATTGACTTGACTGCTCAATATGGGAATGACAAGTCAAAGATTCAAAAGGTCTACAAAAAAAAAAGGTTTTCTAAAGATGTTCACGATTTATTGTGCACATGCTAAGAAGTTCAAAAGGGATCCAGGTTTGAACCCAACATAGATTATCTTTCTGCATTATCTATCAACAAACACTTCCTGAATACTTTAGAAGCCCTACCACAGCATTTACTGAGACAACCAGAAGAGAAACTCGAATGAAGAATCTCAAAGCATTTGAATTATGAAGAGACAGGTCTAAATTATGAAAATTCACTAATTTAATCAAAACAATCACTGAGCAGCAGTTTATCTTTCCTGCCTCACAACCTCCTAATTTATGACCAGCTGAAATCAAACTGTGACACGTGTCACTTTCTGTCTAATAAAATATGAGCGTGGCTACAGGTGAAATTTATCATGGTGATTCCTAACGGGCCTCCTGACAGATTTATGTGTGACGAAATTCAAATGAGCAGGAGGAGCTATTTTTTTTTACAAGGCTTGATTGGGCGAAGAGTTCACAATGATTGATACAGTGTGATTTAGAAACCAAAATACAGGTTTGAGAATGAGAAGTCAGGCAGCCCATTCTCACTCCCAAGGCGTCACCTAACTGACGCCTTGGGAAGCATTTGGACATGCTTCAATATCTGACGCTTTAGGCGCCCTTTAGCGTCAGTTAGATGACGCCCTAGGATCGCGTGTACCCTACCCCCACCCCACACCTAAACCTAACTGCGTCCTCTAACTGACGCTTTCCTTTAGCGTCAGTTAGATGACGCCGTAGGATCGCGTCATGTAAGTGACGCTAAAGGGCGCCTAAAACGTCAAATATTGAAGCATGGTCAAAGGTGACGCCTTGGGGTGAGAATGCGTTGAGTCAGGCTACTGATTTCAGCAACATATCGAATACATGGTCCATGGAAATATTAAATTGATGGCTGTTCACATCATTGTACGCATCAACTTAAAGCAACCAATGTGATATCACAGCATGACATATCAAACCACACATCTGTTAACATTTCAATGCTTCAAGGGTAAACTGAGCAATTTTTCATAATTTCATAATAGTGTCAGTTAATGAAAAGTATCAATTGACCATCTAGAACCATTTTCAGATTGATTAATGGAAGAGAAGAGAAGAGAAGAGAAGAGAAGAGAAGAGTCTCTTGAGACAGCTGTCATCACTGGGTTTGCAGTGACTGATGTGAGCTGTATGGAAGAAAGCTGGCCGTGGACAGACTGAGATTTAAGGCGACAGTGATTAAGTGGCAAGAGCAACAGGGCTTAGAGGAAGCGAGAGATGGGATATCAGCAGAAAAAGCTCACACACAGGGGTAGATGAAGAAATGTGCTTCACAGAGGAACGAACTTTACCAGGAAAGCTTGAGACAACCGAGATGAATGTTAAGAATGAAGGGGATTTGGGGGATGAGTAGACAAGGACAACCGGTCCATCTATCATCATAACACAACCTGGCATGTAAATATAAAATGGTACACACATGAAAAAAGTGCACATATGTGATCATAAATCACAGAAGTAGAGCACCTACAGGTAGACCGTGCTTTCAGAAGGGACAGGGAATTGGTGTGTTCTCCATCATGATGAACACACTACTGAAAGTCTATAAACTGGCATCTCAAATCTCCTCAGTATTCCTAAGCTTCTTAATTTAATTTTCTGAGATTTACCAAATTTCCACAGTGCTGAAATCCACTGGGTCACAAGCTCTTCCAGGTCTGAAATGTATTTCTTTGAAGAGAAGGTATTAATGTTTAGGCATCAGTTATTAGTGACATTCATTTTGTGTACTATTCTATGATCATTTTTGAATTTCTAAATTAAGATTAAACTTTAAAGGGGACATATCATGCAAAATCCACTTTTTTAGCCCTTAAAGGGTTAGTTCACCCAAAAATGAAAATTAAGTCATTAATTACTCACCCCCATGCTGTACCAACCCCGTAAGACCTTCGTTCGTCTTCGGAACACAAATGAAGATATTTTTGATTAAATTTGAGAGCTGTATAACTACCACATTGGCTCCTAAAGGACTGCCTCTTGACGGCCCAGAAAGTCAATGAAGAAAATGTTTAAATATCCCAAGTGACTACCCTGGCTCAACTATATGTTTATCAAGCGACGCGAATACTTTTTGTGCGAAAAAACAAACAAAAATAACGAGTTTATTCGACTATTTCTTTTCTTCCTTGTAGGCCAGAACGAGACTTCCTTAGATTTCCACGACGCATGCGCGAGAATTGCGATCTGAAGTGGTGTAAGCTGGTGTGAGCAGATCGCAAATCTCGCGCATGCGTCGTGGAAATCTAAGGAAGTCTCGTTCTGGCCTACAAGAAAGAAAAGAAATAGTCGAATAAACTCGCTATTTTTGTTTGTTTTTTCGCACAAAAAGTATTCGCGACGCTTGATAAACATATAGTTGAGCCACGGTAGTCACTTGGGATATTTAAACATTTTCTTCATTGACTTTCTGGGCCGTCAAGAGGCAGTCCCTTAGGAGCCAATGTGGTAGTTATACAGCTCTCAAATTTAATCAAAAATATCTTCATTTGTGTTCCGAAGACGAACGAAGGTCTTACGGGGTTGGTACAGCATGGGGGTGAGTAATTAATGACTTAATTTTCATTTTTGGGTGAACTAACCCTTTAAATGCATTTTGTTGAATATTTGGAGTGTTTATAAGTACAGAAAAGATGAAATTATTCTCTTCAGGTGCTTCGTTTATATCTTTATATTCTGTTTTGGTCATATTTTTCAATCTGTTCAGATTTTTCTGTTGTCTATGACGTTTTTTGAGCAAATGCGTCACCGTATTTGCAGCGGAACTGCCAAATAAGGACATTGACTACCGGTCCAACACTTCAAGCAATCCGCCTTTATTATTTCTCGCTCCGATTTTGTAGTCCAAGCTCAATGATGCAGAAGTTACGAGAGGGCAAGTCAAAATGTTCGTTTTTTGGATGTACGTTAGTGACCTGAAGCACTTCAAGGATTCCCACTTCAACAACCTCCGCCAGTATAAAGAAGGGTTTGCCGATTGACTTCGTCTGAATGAGAGGTAAATTGAATTCCTTCTATCTTTGGAGACGACAAACAGAGCATTTCGATAAGCTGTAAATATGGTTAATAAAAATAAAGTAGCTGCTACTTCACTTTCTTAAAACACATGGTGGTCATGGTTTAGCAGTACCTTTGTCTTTCTTTGTTTTTGTTTTGAAGTAACGTTACACGTCTGCAGTATTATTGTTCTTGAGTTTAATCAATGGTCATTTAGCTGCTTTTCTGATGCTTTTCTAAACGTATCATATTGTCAATACAGATTTTTTTTGTGGTAAGATTAGAACGTAGTCATTTATCTTGTCAGTGTGCTTGTTTTAACAAGAGAAATAGTCGACTTTCACTAATAACACAAAACAGTTAACTCACATACCAATATATCCATATGAAGAGGTCTGCAGGTTCGTCGTCGTCTTTATCGACTCGCTCGCTCTGGCTCGAATATGTAAGGCTTGATGGACAAGTCTTCTGTTGTTGACATTTTATTAAAGTGTGAATAAAAATGTTCTTTGAAGGTATCGTATATAATCGTATATCTCTATTCAAACTACAATAATGGCCGAACGTGGGGAGTTGAACTGACCGTGAACTCATCGACCTGGAGAGCGGGCAGGGTATGACGCATCTCCTTTTTATTTGAAGGGGACGCTTTGAAACGGGTCGCTCAAAGACGCACATCAGAAAAGGGGTAGAAAACGGGCCTGTGGAGCTATAATAATGAGGAATTCAGACCCAAGCATTGCAGTTATGTTTTATATAGACCACAACGGTATGATTTATATGTAAAAATGAATAATTTAAAAGCATGATATGTACCCTTTAAAGTCAGAAGTATCAAAGAGTTACAATACTACTTGGATAATAATTTTAAGTGTTTTTTTTTTTTTTGAAAGGTCATTAAAAAGGTATTTAAAGTCCTAAAAATACTATTATGCTACAGTTTAAAGATACTGATATTTGAGAGTGAACATATCAAGGTAATCAGATCAATACGTTTCTAAAAAATCACATTATTCTCATTCTGTTTCTTTTACTAATTGGCAAGGATAGTTCGGGTTGTCAAATTGTGGAATAATGGCGAAAAAACAAACATTTTAATAGTACAAAATCAACCACCTTCTTCTAAATTTACTTGTCTTTAACACCCTAAGAAAATTTGAGAAAAAGTTAACATAGGCATAGCAAAGCATGGCTAGAATGGCTTTAGCACCATTAATCCAAACATTTGTTGAAAATATGATAAAACAGTATCAATATTTATTCTAATACTCTGCATGTCAATTTTAATCTAGTCATTTCACCTTGAGTAAAGGTTCTGGCTAAACCCTTTCTGACTCCTAAATGATGCTTACCTTGTCTAACCAAGCAGAAGCTCTATACTTAGACATGCTTTTTAAAGAACTGCACGACAATGAATGAGCAGCCAAAGCATTCAGAGAGCGAGAGAAGCAACAATAATCTGAGAGATTAAACGTCCATGTCTGGCTTCAGCTATATAGCTAGATGCTCAAATCCGCGCAATGAGCTTCCCAGACTATGTTCCCAGACTTTATGATCCTGGGGTCCTGCAGTCAGAATAACAGCTCAGAAAATCATTGAGTGTATTTCTCCACTTAGCACTGATAATCTGCACTGAAACTTCCTGAAAGGATGCTAAAATTACTGGGATTTTCAGGAAAAAGGTATAATCCATTAAAGCCACAATATGTATTTTTTTCTGCATTAAAAATAGCACAAATAATTGTATCTATGCTATATATTTCTATTAGATGTGTACTTACATTATCCCGACAGTTTCCACCAAATTTCAAATACGGAGAAATTTATAGTTTAATTCGAAGACACGTGACGTTTCTTTATTTCTGTTTCGTCGCCCGTCTATGGCGTCATATAACCTTTGACTCCTCTATTTTCTCTAACTTCCTTGCGGAACCCGGCGAAACCGCCAAACACAAAGGGGAACACTGGACTACCGCCAATAAAGCAAAGAAAATGACGAATAAAAAAAAGTAGTACGTATTTTTATGTGTGTAAATCACGTGCCCACTCACGAGCACTCACTCTTAACAGACACACTGTCCCCGGTGCTGCTCACGCATAAAGCGCTCCCCGTTCACAGTAACCGTGTCGTCTCATTCAAAACAGCCAACTGTTGCTGTTAGGGAGCCTCGCACATTGAATACTCTTATGAGTCAGGCTGCGAATGTACGTGCCCGCTTCAGCTCTCTCATGCTTACTAAATAAACGCCTCACCTCCGGCGCCGCGCACTTACTACATTCCCTTTAGCACATAGTGGATGAATAACGCAAACCCAGTCAAACGTTAGACTGCAGTATCTTATGTGCTTTATAATCCGGTGCGCTCTATATATGAAAAATGTTCTAAAATAGGTCATTCATTGAAGGAGCGTAATATAAATATTTATATTCGTCTGTATTATAGTTATGGACCATGATTACGCTTTGCCTGCACGTTCTGCTGCTACAGCCAGCTCATTAGCTAACGCTCAAACGTACCTGAAAAATATGACCCGAGAAGGGTTTGGGACAGGAGAAGCATGACACAGGTAAACATTGGGGTTGCATTTAAAGCTTCTTGACAAGCTAAATCTACAGAGAGATGCTGTATATCCGTATATTTTGTGAAACGATGATGTCATGAGCTGAGCTGGTTGTCATTGACAGCGACAACAACTCCCGTGAGCCCACGCTCTTTCCCGACGTCATCAAAGTACGTCTTTTGTTATTATTTTAAACGAGTGACCCCTGGTGGCCAAAAATCGCATACTGTACGTTTAAAGATCTTGTTCCCAATATACTATAATATAATTATATTTTTCATAATGCATTAGAACTGTGGTAAGGCATTTCTGTTTAGTAGCTTAAAGGGTCGTGAACCCCCCCCATCACGTGTGTGACTGGCTGCAGGCACGATTCTACGTCAGCTGGCCATCGGGATGTTCTCTGCATTTATTCATGAGAAAGAGTTCGTTCAAGCTAATCACAATGTTGGATTACACATGAGATTGCATTACAGTGGAGAATTCAAACAACATGGGGAGAGCGCCTTAGAGTAGTTTCTGCGCAGAACACATAAAATAAGTTTATCATGGCTTCCAACATGGATAATACAGTTCATATACGGAGAAAACGTGTTTCAAGTTTTTATGGAAATATTTTACATATTCTAGTTATCTAAACATGAACCAGCACTGTGTATGCACTCATGTCTTCCTTAAATGTGCATTTATCCTTAATTCTTGTGAGTGTTATATATAGGGTTATATTTTTTGGTTGCATCAAGGTGTCCTTAAATCCATTTTTTTTTTGTTCCCCCTCCATGGTCATACATTTTAATATTAATTTGTCTGTATAATGAATGTGTTGCTGGTCTGTGTTTTATTGGTTGTTTTCCCTTCTCTTCTCACCCTCTCCCACTTTTCCACAATTTACACACCAATTTCTTGAGACTTCTTGAGCTCTGTGGTTTGAACGACCAGGCTACAACAAGGGGGCTTTCATCTCACTTTAAAGAGCACGGCGTCAGCAATTGCAAGGTTGTGGCTTTGATTTCCAGGAAAAGTTACGAAATGCATAAATGTCTTTTTTCAGGACTTACCTGAGAGAGAAAGTGTCCAGGTTGGCTGAGCTCTTCACATAGACATAAAAGGAAGCGATATCAGTCTTTTTAAGGGGTTTAGAGGAGGTCTGGATGACCACAGACTCTCTCAGTCTGAGCACAGACACTGGCATGGCCCCTTGTTTGACTTGCAGGAGCCGAACACTCCCGATTCTCTGCATGGGGGTCACGGGCATGTACTCAGCCTGAGGCTGCCCGGCATTTCCACTGCCCAAATCCCACCTCTTGCCCTCCTCCCCACTGGCTGTGCACGGGCCGTAAGCACTGGGACGGGCCTGGTAATAAAGCTCCACTGGGTTCCCCTGGGTTGGCCCTTGTCTTTCCCGACTGGAGCTGCCCTCAACCGGGCTGAACCAGCTTGCAGGAGGGTCAACCTCGGCCATACAGGTTCCATGCTCATTTCGGATGACACAGGAACCACGGACCTCCTGAGTCTGCCAGAAGGCATACACAGTCACGCACGGCAGCTCATCTTTTGTTCCTTTCTCCTTCTCTCCTCTGTCCCAGTCTCTCCCAGCCACATAGAACAGGACTCGCACTTTGGGAGAAGACGAATGGACCCACCGGGTCAGAACGAAGGCTTGGACTCTCCAGTTGATGGTGAAAACTGGTGGTGAGGACCGGAATAACTGCACTGACTGCACTAAGTCCAGGGGGATCTCCTGTTTGGTTGAGAGTGGGCCGTAGCTGGCATTGATGACTGGGAGACGTCCCGCTCGGAGCATGACAAATGGCTGCGTGTGGCTCTGCATGCTGGAATTGCGCATGATGTCCTGTCCAGCTTCTTTTAGTAGGAAGTATTCAGCATCCCATACCTGATAAGTTACCGGAAGGAACAACGGATATGGGGTGGAGTATTTGGTGGCATCCGAGATCTCCTGACTGTCCAGCTCTGCAGGAGAACAAAGAGACAATTGAATTAGGAAAGGGATTATTTTAAAAAAGAGATGTGTAATGTTTTATTCATGCCATACAGTGTGTATACATATTCCTGTGTGTGCACCAACAAAATGTCTCTCAGTAGCTATATTTGAATTTTTTTTTTTTTTTTTAATCATTTTTGGGTGGTTAATTGTTTTGGATGACGCTTACGACCATACAACCGAAATTGTGGATCTTTCAAGGGAATATTCCCCACGATCAACGTCAACGCTTGCATGTTTGCGTGAATCATTTCTCACCAGACTGCTTTATAAACAAGGGTCAGTAGTATAAAGCTGGTTTTGCTAAGAAGCTGCTCCAGAAAAAAATAATCGGTACCTATTCGTGCTCTTGCTTCACCTCCAGAAGAAGTGAACGTAAAGTTTTATTAATCTTTTTATTAATCTTTGCAAATCGCGAAAAAAAGTTGTTCATGACTGTTAACTGTAACATCAATCTGTCAACGAACTAACCTATACATCAGTAAACACAACAGTTCGTATCTCACTACTCTACCCTGCCAGTGCATACAAAGATAGATTAAAGTAACATTACGTTAACCAACCATTCAGAAACGTCCTGTTCGAGCTTTAAATGTCGATTTTTTTTGCGGCTGTCATCGTGCCGAATTTCGACCCCCGCCAATACCCCCCTAGCATTGGTAGGTTTAGGATTAGTTGTGGGGAACACCAGGTCCGACTCTTGTTCAAATAGGTAAGGTTGTACAGATGTGTCCTCAGACACTGCAGCTGCCATTCTTATTCCAAAATATACCCTCAACTGTTGTCAAGGCAACAATCCACATGCGTTGTGTCAAAACGCCCAAAGAACAGAGGGGCGGAGTTGAGCAAAGCTCATTATCATTTAAAGGCACATGCACTAAAACAGTGTGCTGAAAACAGAGCTGTTTTTGACCAGGCAAAATTAGTGTTTTCTTACAATACTAATTAGAACTAAAATACATTATATATATATATATATATATATATATATATATATATATATATATATATATATATAAACTTTCAAGCAGTTTAGATTTGCTATATAGTAGCCTACTACGGTACATACAGTATATTAACGTATAATTATATCACATACACTGGCCCTTTTATGACACTAAGAAATGCATCATAGCAAAATGTCTGGCATGAAAATATTCTGAATCTCCAAATTTAAATCTCCCAGCATACAGCACTGCCACTCTGCCTACACAGCTGATTTTGGATAAAATTTAGCAGTTTTTTAAGTAAGGATTTAAGGAACATGTTTAGTGATAGATGATGTTCCAATTTCCCCCAAAAAATTATAGAAATCTGTGTAAATATGAGACTGTTGTTCTGACTATATTGTATACAGTGGGTTAACATTCTTTGTAATTTTATTCATGCAACATATAGATATAGATAATTTCCTCAAAATTATTTTTAATGTATCCTAATAATGAAAAATATAGAATGTGAGACGAGTGTGCTCCGAGATAAACAATACTGTGTTTGACCAATAGAAAATGTCGAAATATGTTTTTCAGTAATTCATCCTTTCTGTTGTAATTTGCAACCAAACAAACACATTTTATTGGTTTATATAAGTGTGATTGAGCAATATTTAATAAAATAAAAATAAATGTAACTTGGTTTGATACTTTGCCAAATAGCAAAGGCTCATTCATATATTTTTGAGGCCACTTAATGCTAGCTTGCCTCAGTAAATCATAAAGTGCTGTCATTAAAAACATCTTATCATAAGTGCATAAGAAAACTATTGATATATTGCAATTTTAGACAAGATTAGGCTGCAAACATAGAAGAGCTAAAATAAAATAAAACGTGCAATAGAGATATGGTTCAAATAAAAAATAAGATATACTGTATGAATAATGATTTCAATTTTAAAAGACAATACTGTCTTTAATATTTCTGATTAATTAACAAACTTAACTTGAGCATGAGAGACTGTTTGTCTGTATTTATGTCCTGGTCTGCCACCTCATATGGAAATATGAATAGTACATTTTACTAAAATGGAAACTAAATGGAAACAATCTGCAATATTGCACCCAATGCAGCCTATTTTAATCCCCCCCAAGCTTCACCCACTTTCATCTTATAGGCACAATATCAATTTAATATTCTAGTAGATCCATGAAAAACTCCTGCGGATTGGTAAAGTCAGAGAAGTCTGTAAGAAATTATAGTCTGCTTCGATCCAACTTCCACTCCAATATAGATTATATTGAAAGGTTCCTTCACTTAAAAGAGCTTATTTATCATAGAATCAATTCCTTACAATCTTAAAAGTATCACAGTCATGTTCATCACCTATAGCGTGGGAAGGACAGCAGGTATTCAAGAACCATCTTGATTAGGGGGCTTCAAAGAGATGTTATCACCTTAAACATTTGGCTGTATTGCTTTAAACATTTGGCCGTTCTTATTTGAAAGAAGATCAAAGACAGAACACAGCTGTTACGACAAGAGCAACTTCATTTACATTAAGAGGACAGTAACAGGATAAAAGGTTGAAGATTTGAATGTTCGGGGTTCATTCTGACGCCGGTGAACCCAAGGTGCTTCGTGTGCCTTGCCACTGCTATGCTGTAAATAAACTTCATTTTTGAGATCTTCGACGTCCACTTCATTTTTTCTTACAAGTCTAAGATCCAACATTGTGTATTATATGCCAGTGAAATAAAAAAAAATAAACTCCAATAACAAGGATGAGCTCAAAAGAGACAGTACAAAATTCCTGGAAATAATTTTTTTAAAGAGCAGATTGAATGGTAAGGTCATGCAGTGAAAGGCCAGTTGACTCAAAGTAATCTCAAACTGAACTCATGGCACATGACAATTCCTACACACACATTTACAGCTGAAGTGGTCACAGAACATGCAAAGGAGAAAGATTAATCTGAACTGGATAACATTCAGTCTAGCTGATATTGTCATTTAAATTATTATGTTTTTCTATGTTGTTGGGGGGGAAATAAGTTAACCATTTGGACCTAACTGACACAAACTGTGAAATTATGAATGACCAAACACAGTGCAAACATAGTTTCAAACAGACAAACCCAACATTCACAGTGCAAGAAAATGTATACGAACCCCCCCCCCTTTTTTTGTCACAAAACATGCTTTCAACTCTTTCTACTTTGTTACTACTTTTTTGTGCACAGAAAGTAAGTTAATATGTTCCAAAACTACACTGAACTTCAATGAACCTCAAAAAAAAAAAAAAAAAAACATTGAGTAAATGATGACAGAATTTTAACTTGCCTTTGGCTGACAATCAGATCATATTTCATGATCAGTTAAAGCCACAACCCACAACATTTGTATATAGACCATCATCTGATTCAAAGAAGGAAAGAAAAAAAAGAATAGCCCTCAAAATACTATTTTTGGAATCGAGACTCTGAAAACGCACACATTCCTTTACTTTACCTTTTCTTTACTGCTTTATCTATTTTTTCCCCATTTAAACAGTACACTTTCTCCTAACTTTATCCTCTATAGAAGGAACTTCACTCTTGTTATGCTACTACTACTTAAAAACATCTAAGAGCAAGGTTACATGTTTTAACACAAAAATTAAATTATGCTTCTTTAGTGTTAAAACTATGCTTCTTTCATGTCAAAATATATGAGTATATTGTTTATAATATTTGTGAATTTGAGAATTAAAATGTGGTGAGTTGTTCGTTTCAGATGTTTTAAATTGAGATTCAGTAGTTTTGGGCATTTGGCTTTGAGTTCACATAAAGGTCTCTCTGCTAGCCATCAGCTGGACTGGATGCATTACCATTAGCAGTTGTGCAGGTCAACAGGTCAACATCCATTCTATTTACCCCCTATTTCAGCAGATGACATAGATAACATCTGTCTGGATTCAGCTCTAAATCCATTGGTAGGATGGTGTAATAAGCCTGCTAGCCACACTATGGGGGAAACAGTGTGTGCTAAACACGTTGCAGCGCAAGATGCATGCTCAGTACATTTGATGTGCTTCTTAAAACACTGATATAAATTCCTATTACATTTAATGTGCATATTAATAGTATAAATGGGGAGTTACATTAGAGTGTTTTAAAATAAACTAGGTTTGACTATGAAGTCACAAATAGCATTTAGCAATTAGATGTATGACTTTGGCAGGTAGAAAGGTTGGAATTGCCATGAGAAACACTGGTAACACATCATGATAAGGTATCATTTGTTTAGTTAAATACATTAGTTAACATGATCTAACAATGAAAAATTATTTAAAAGCATTTATTATTCTTATTTAACATTAATTTCAATGAAAAACCAAAGTTCCCATTCAGGGAACTTCGAGCTGCGTGTAAACGCCGTGTAAACGCCGTGGGAACGCCTCTGCGTGACGAGTCATGAAGCACGTATGAAATCTGTCCAATGGCGAGACGGAACGTCATAGGCGGGGTGACGTATCGACCAGGAAACTATAAAGCATCCCCGAAACACAAGCGCAACAGCTTCTGAGTCTTCACAAGCGCTCTATGTATGAATTTTGTCTGTCTGTCTAATATTGTATATTTATATATATTGATATGGCGAGCAAACAACAGCAGAATTTCAGAAAGTGTGTTCATCCCTGCCCTCGCTTCATCACGGGTCGGGATACACACGATCTGTGTGTTGTTTGTTTGGGAGTGCAGCATGCTCAGTCGGCTCTCGAGGGGGCCGGCTGTGAGCACTGCGAGTGTCTGCCCATGAAGACACTTCGCTCCCGCCGGGCACTCTTCGAGGAGAGTGGTTCGGTGCGCGCTCCCCGCGGCTCGGGTCCCGCTGCTGCCGAGGCACAGCGAAGGCTTGCGTCGTGGGGATCGCAGATGGATCTATCAGCGGGGATTGAGACGGGCCCCGCCCTTTCTCTGCCCTTACCTGGTAGATCCAGTGCCTCAGTTCTCGCTGCGGGGGTCCGCGTTGCGGTTTTCCTGCCCGGGCTGAG